TTACTGTATAATGATGGTAATAATGTTACAGTGTTACTGTATAATGATGGTAATAATGTTACAGTGTTACTGTATAATGATGGTAATAATGTTACAGTGTTACTGTATAATGATGGTAATAATGTTACAGTGTTACTGTATAATGATGGTTATAATGTTACAGTGTTACTGTATAATGATGGTTATAATGTTACAGTGTTACTGTATAATGATGGTAATAATGTTACAGTGTTACTGTATAATGATGGTAATAATGTTACAGTGTTACTGTATAATGATGGTTATAATGTTACAGTGTTACTGTATAATGATGGTAATAATGTTACAGTGTTACTGTATAATGATGGTAATAATGTTACAGTGTTACTGTATAATGATGGTTATAATGTTACAGTGTTACTGTATAATGATGGTAATAATGTTACAGTGTTACTGTATAATGATGGTAATAATGTTACAGTGTTACTGTATAATGATGGTAATAATGTTACAGTGTTACTGTATAATGATGGTAATAATGTTACAGTGTTACTGTATAATGATGGTTATAATGTTACAGTGTTACTGTATAATGATGGTAATAATGTTACAGTGTTACTGTATAATGATGGTAATAATGTTACAGTGTTACTGTATAATGATGGTAATAATGTTACAGTGTTACTGTATAATGATGGTAATAATGTTACAGTGTTACTGTATAATGATGGTAATAATGTTACAGTGTTACTGTATAATGATGGTTATAATGTTACAGTGTTACTGTATAATGACGGTAATAATGTTACAGTGTTACTGTATAATGATGGTAATAATGTTACAGTGTTACTGTATAATGATGGTAATAATGTTACAGTGTTACTGTATAATGATGGTAATAATGTTACAGTGTTACTGTATAATGATGGTTATAATGTTACAGTGTTACTGTATAATGATGGTTATAATGTTACAGTGTTACTGTATAATGATGGTAATAATGTTACAGTGTTACTGTATAATGATGGTTATAATGTTACAGTGTTACTGTATAATGATGGTAATAATGTTACAGTGTTACTGTATAATGATGGTTATAATGTTACAGTGTTACTGTATAATGATGGTAATAATGTTACAGTGTTACTGTATAATGATGGTAATAATGTTACAGTGTTACTGTATAATGATGGTTATAATGTTACAGTGTTACTGTATAATGATGGTAATAATGTTACAGTGTTACTGTATAATGATGGTAATAATGTTACAGTGTTACTGTGTAATGATGGTAATAATGTTACAGTGTTACTGTATAATGATGGTAATAATGTTACAGTGTTACTGTATAATGATGGTAATAATGTTACAGTGTTACTGTATAATGATGGTAATAATGTTACAGTGTTACTGTATAATAATATTCTCGTCGTGTCTGGCTTTATACTGACTTTCTTATTCTGTCTAAATCTTCAAAAATGTAATTGAATGAAAACAAATTGTATATCCTGCTATGTCAAATAATTTAAATGAATTTCTCCCGTAGAGTTTTAAATAACATGAATTCCTCTGTTCTCTGGATTATCAAGGAACGGAGGATCGAGCCTCCAGCAGTGTTCGCAACGAATAACCAGCACTGTTTTAGTTAGTACTTCGTATAATAACATTCAAAAAATAATGTCACTGGCAACGATGTTTGTAACTTCTTAATTAAAGAAGAAAGAGATAAAGGAACCTAGTAAGGGGGGTGGGGGAGACTGGGTTTAATTGGTGTCGTGGGTACGGGAGTAAATTTTTGAGTAGTTTAGGGTAGGGGTGGTTTAATAAGGACTTGCTTTGTATGGGCCAGTAGACCTTCTGCAGTGTTCCTCCATTCTTATGTTCGTATGTTAAAGTTCTAAACCTGGATGTTTTAGCCTCCGTCAGCTAATTAATCAATCTTTCATCTCTCACTAACTAGGCTAATCAGGCGCTGAAATTCCGCACATTTGCTGTCAGCTGTCATAATCATAAGAACATAAGAACATAAGAACGAAGGAACACTGCAGAAGGCCTACTGGCCCATGCGAGGCAGGTCCAAGTCTCCTACCGGCTTAAGCCAATGCACCCAACCTAGTCAGGTCAGGTCACATTGACTTAAGGGAGGAACACGGCAACCGACCTGGTAGCACAAGCTATCACGTCTAACTCACACCCACCCACATCTACTCATGTATTTATCCAACCTATTTTTAAAGCTACACAACGTTCTAGCCTCTATAACGGTACTTGGGAGTTTGTTCCACTCATCCACAACTCTATTACCAAACCAGTACTTTCCTATATCCTTCCTGAATCTGAATTTTTCCAACTTAAAACCATTGCTGCGAGTCCTGTCTAGGCTAGATATTTTCAGCACACTATTTACATCCCCTTTATTTATTCCTGTCTTCCATTTATACACCTCAATCATATCCCCCCTAATTCTACGTCTTTCTAGAGAGTGCAGTTTCAGGGCCCTTAGTCTATCCTCATAGGGAAGGTTTCTGATACATGGGATCAACTTTGTCATCCTCCTTTGTACATTTTCCAGAGAATTTATATCCATTCTGTAATACGGTGACCAAAACTGTGCAGCATAATCTAAATGAGGCCTAACCAAGGATGTATAGAGTTGAAGAACAACCTGAGGACTCCTATTATTTATGCTTCTTGATATGAAGCCAAGGATTCTATTCGCTTTATTGCGAACACTTATGCACGTTGTCTTGGTTTCAGATTACTGCTAACCAGAACTCCTAAATCTTTTTCGCAATCCGTAATATTAAGATCTACATTATTTAGTTTATATGTGGCATGGTTATTGTCCTGTCCAACATTTAGAACTTTGCATTTGTCTATATTAAACTGCATCTGCCACTTCTCCGACCACTGCATCAGTCTATTCAAATCTTCCTGGAGTGCTCGAATGTCCTCGTCAGAATGAATTCGACGGCCTATTTTGGTGTCATCGGCAAACTTGCCGATGTCGCTCTTTATGCCCTCATCTATGTCGTTTATGTAGATTGTGAACAGCAGGGGGCCCAACACTGACCCCTGTGGAACACCGCTCGTGACACTTCCCCACTCTGATTTCTCCCCATTTATGCAAACTCTCTGCTGCCTATTTGTCAACCATGCCTCTATCCAGGAAAAAATTTCTCCTCCTATTCCATGTGCTTTAATTTTCCTCAACAGTCTCTGATGTGGGACCCTGTCAAAAGCCTTACTGAAGTCCATATACACAATATCATATTCATTACCATGATCTACCTCCTCAAATACCTTAGTGAAAAAAGTTAATAAATTCGTAAGGCAGGAACGCCCCTTTGTAAAACCATGCTGAGATTCGTTGATTAATTTATGCTTTTCAAGGTGGCTACGAACTGCCTCGGCAATTATTGATTCCATAAATTTTCCCACTATGGAGGTCAGGCTTATTGGTCTATAGTTCGAAGCTAAGGACCTGTCACCTGTTTTGAAAATAGGTATCACATTTGCCATTTTCCACTTATCTGGCACCATGCCAGTTTGTAGTGATATGTTGAAAAGATTAGCCAAAGGTGTGCTAAGCTCCTCTTTACATTCCTTTAGAACCCTTGCATACAGTTCATCAGGGCCTGGGGATTTGTTAGGTTTTAATTTATCTATTTGCCTAAGGACCATGTCACTTGTGACCCTAATAGTGCACAGTTTATTATCGTCCTGTTCTACATAATTTTTCATTACTGGAATATCGCTGGTATCCTCCTGTGTAAAAACTGAGAGGAAGTATGTGTTAAAAATTCTACACATTTCCTTATCACTGTCAGTGAGCTGACCCGAGGAACTTTTGAGTGGGCCTATCTTGTCCCTGATCTTACTTCTGTATACCTGAAAGAATCCTTTTGGGTTAGTCTTCGATTCTCTTGCAACTTTAACCTCATAATCTCTTTTTGCTTTTCTAATTCCCTTTTTTATTTCTCTCTTTAACTGAATATATCGATTTCTCAATTGCCCCTCTCCTCTTTTGATTTGCCTATATATGCCTCTCTTTTGACCAATCAGATATTTTAATCTATTGTTCATCCATTTAGGATCATTTTTGTTTGATCTGATTTCCCTATTTGGAACATAATTTGACTGAGCAGCTAGAACTATGCCCTGGAAAGCATCATATCGGCAACCGTCACCACCTACCTGACCCTTAGTCAGGTCATTCCAGTTCAGCCCACCTAAGTAATTTTTCAGTCCTATGAAATCAGCCAAGCGAAAGTCAGGGACGGAGACTTGATTGCCATTATTAGGGGAATTCCATGATATATTAAAACTGAGTGATTTGTGATCACTTTCCCCAAGCTCATCATTAACCTCAAGATTATTAATTAGTGTTTCCCTACTGGCAAGAACCAAGTCAAGGAGGTTATTTCCCCTAGTTGGCTCTGTCACAAACTGTTTTAAAAAACAATCCTGGATCGTATCAAGAAAGTCACCTGACTCTAAATTTCCTGTCAAATTGCTCCAGTCAATCTGTCTATAGTTGAAATCTCCCATTAGCACAACATTTTCGTATGTAGATGCCTTACGAATTTCGTCCCATAGAAGTTTACTGCACTCCCTATCAAGATTTGGGGCCCTGTAAATCACACCCAAAATTAGTTTTTCTCGGCCCTCGAGAAGCTGTAACCAAACAGATTCAGTGGCTGACGCTTCTAATTTAATATCTTGTCTAACACAACAATTTAAATTGTCTCTAACATACATCGCTACTCCACCACCTTTCCTGTTGACCCTGTCAGTGTGGAATAATTTATAGCCTTGTATGTGACATTCAGAGGGCATCTCTCTATCTTTCAGATTGAGCCAGGTCTCTGTTATAGCAATAATATCTATGTTTCCTGCACATAATCAGGAGGTAATTTTTCCACGTTGCCTGTCAGGTGTGAAACACAAGCTTAATTTCCTCACATATTTCATATCTACTGTCAAAACTTGGGAGCTGAATTTCCATATATGTCCATCAGGTGTCAGAAGTGCCAATGGCCCATGTGTGGCCCAGCGTGCGAGGCTGCTCCCGACCACCTGCCAGAGTGTGTGGTCGGCCAGGAGATAGGCTCACCCATCGAGATTGCTAACTTCGACGAACCTAACCACTTCTACGAGGTCGTCTTTCCTCTCAGGTAGGTGTTCACAGCTAACACTCAGGTAGGTGTTTACAGCTAACACTCAGGTAGGTGTTCACAGCTAACACTCAGGTAGGTGTTTACAGCTAACACTCAGGTAGGTGTTCACAGCTAACACTCAGGTAGGTGTTTACAGCTAAAACTCAGGTAGGTGTTTACAGCTAACACTCAGGTAGGTGTTTACAGCTAACACTCAGGTAGGTGTTTACAGCTAACACTCAGGTAGGTGTTCACAGCTAACACTCAGGTAGGTGTTTACAGCTAACACTCAGGTAGGTGTTTACAGCTAACACTCAGGTAGGTGTTCACAGCTAACACTCAGGTAGGTGTTTACAGCTAACACTCAGGTAGGTGTTCACAGCTAACACTCAGGTAGGTGTTTACAGCTAAAACTCAGGTAGGTGTTTACAGCTAACACTCAGGTAGGTGTTTACAGCTAACACTCAGGTAGGTGTTTACAGCTAACACTCAGGTAGGTGTTTACAGCTAACACTCAGGTAGGTGTTCACAGCTAACACTCAGGTAGGTGTTTACAGCTAAAACTCAGGTAGGTGTTTACAGCTAACACTCAGGTAGGTGTTTACAGCTAACACTCAGGTGTTTACAGCTAACACTCAGGTAGGTGTTTACAGCTAACACTCAGGTAGGTGTTTACAGCTAACACTCAGGTAGGTGTTCACAGCTAACACTCAGGTAGGTGTTTACAGCTAAAACTCAGGTAGGTGTTTACAGCTAACACTCAGGTAGGTGTTTACAGCTAACACTCAGGTAGGTGTTTACAGCTAACACTCAGGTAGGTGTTTACAGCTAACACTCAGGTAGGTGTTCACAGCTAACACTCAGGTAGGTGTTTACAGCTAACACTCAGGTAGGTGTTCACAGCTAACACTCAGGTAGGTGTTTACAGCTAAAACTCAGGTAGGTGTTTACAGCTAACACTCAGGTAGGTGTTCACAGCTAACACTCAGGTAGGTGTTTACAGCTAAAACTCAGGTAGGTGTTTACAGCTAACACTCAGGTAGGTGTTTACAGCTAACACTCAGGTGTTTACAGCTAACACTCAGGTAGGTGTTTACAGCTAACACTCAGGTAGGTGTTTACAGCTAACACTCAGGTAGGTGTTCACAGCTAACACTCAGGTAGGTGTTTACAGCTAAAACTCAGGTAGGTGTTTACAGCTAACACTCAGGTAGGTGTTTACAGCTAACACTCAGGTAGGTGTTTACAGCTAACACTCAGGTAGGTGTTTACAGCTAACACTCAGGTAGGTGTTCACAGCTAACACTCAGGTAGGTGTTTACAGCTAACACTCAGGTAGGTGTTCACAGCTAACACTCAGGTAGGTGTTTACAGCTAAAACTCAGGTAGGTGTTTACAGCTAACACTCAGGTAGGTGTTTACAGCTAACACTCAGGTAGGTGTTTACAGCTAACACTCAGGTAGGTGTTTACAGCTAACACTCAGGTAGGTGTTCACAGCTAACACTCAGGTAGGTGTTTACAGCTAAAACTCAGGTAGGTGTTTACAGCTAACACTCAGGTAGGTTTTACAGCTAACACTCAGGTGTTTACAGCTAACACTCAGGTAGGTGTTTACAGCTAACACTCAGGTAGGTGTTTACAGCTAACACTCAGGTAGGTGTTCACAGCTAACACTCAGGTAGGTGTTTACAGCTAAAACTCAGGTAGGTGTTTACAGCTAACACTCAGGTAGGTGTTTACAGCTAACACTCAGGTAGGTGTTTACAGCTAACACTCAGGTAGGTGTTTACAGCTAACACTCAGGTAGGTGTTTACAGCTAACACTCAGGTAGGTGTTTACAGCTAACACTCAGGTAGGTGTTTACAGCTAACACTCAGGTAGGTGTTCACAGCTAACACTCAGGTAGGTGTTTACAGCTAACACTCAGGTAGGTGTTTACAGCTAACACTCAGGTAGGTGTTCACAGCTAACACTCAGGTAGGTGTTCACAGATAGTACTAGGGTAGTTGCTCACAGCGAACACTCGAGGCCTTGTCATGGACCGGTCCGCGGGGGCGTTGACCCCCTCAACACCCTCCAGGTATATTCAGGTAGATGGTCACAACTAACCCTCAGGTGCTCACAACTAACCCTCAGGTGCTCACAACTAACCCTCAGGTGCTCACAACTAACCCTCATTCACTACACAACTAATCCTCAGGCACTATATAACCCACATCATAGGAGAGTAAACAGGAAAATATTTCGGTCCGTTCTGGACTATTATCAACCCCCCCCCCCACTCCAAAAAAAGAAAGGAGTCAAATCAGGTGAAAACAGCGTCGGATCAGGAGACAGCCAGAAAAAGAAAAGTTTTATCATAAGCATCGAGGAGTCAGTGGGTATTTTGTTGATCATGTCAGCCATAACACATCATTAGGTAATATATATTGTAGTGTAGAAGTTAATATTTTACCCATGGACTGTTGGTTTTGCAAAAATCTTGCTTCTGAGGTGGAAAAGACTCCATTTCTTTCTAAAATATTTACTGTCCTGCATAATTAATAACTTTGCGTAATTTACAACTTCGTTGGAATTTTCTGAAAAATCAGAAGAAAGTTAAATTTGAAACACTAAAAATTACTAGTTACATTTTTTAAAAATTAAGTTTTGGATAATTCAAACTGTATTTTCAATATATGTTTTAAACGACTTTATTGTGGGTGTTTTCGAAGACAGTTCTGAGTGTATTACACTCCCATATGTTTATATGGAAGTGTATTACACTCCCATATGTTTATATGGAAGTGTATTACACTCCCATATGTTTATATGGAAGTGTATTACACTCCCATATGTTTATATGGAAGTGTATTACACTCCCATATGTTTATATGGAAGTGTATTACACTCCCATATGTTTATATGGAAGTGTATTACACTCCAATACGTTTGTATGGGAGTGTATTACATATTTTAAGAAATTAAATATTTCCCATCTCCAGTAAAATGTCATTAATTAGTTTACCATTATCTCGAAAAGAAAAAATCGAAATCCTACCATAGCAGTTGTTTATTTGACTGGTAAAAATTTATGTGTGAAATGATATCATATATGTTTGAATAACATAAAGAAACAAGGGTCGTTGCTGGAGGCTTTCTGGCTTATATTGAAGCTCACACTCACGTTGTTCAATTTATCATTAAAACCACCAAATTATTTGCATCATTGACCCAGCTTGACAGACAGATTGTTCCACTCATACACAGTTGTTAATGATTCATTGTCTCCGCAGATGTCTTGCTCTAAAGAAGAAGTCGCCGAAGAAGTACGAGCAACTCTTGTCGCTTGAGAGCCATTATGAGGATCGTAAGGGCACCCACCTCTACCAGGAGAACCAGAAGAGCATTGTCAATTTTCTCCGTAACTATTTCTTCATCCAAGAGTTCCCCATTGAGGACATAGACAGCTCGGAAAAATCTATCCATACCATCACCGGCATCATTGACGTCAATGCCTTGGAGATCCGGCTGAAAGAATCTGAGGTGTTGGGGTTATATCCGACCTTCGCTATGCTGGAGCACTCGTGCACTCCCAACACCAAGCACGCCTTCAACAAGGATCGTCAGGTAACAGTGAAGGCGGCAGTGGACATCAAGCGTGGGGAGCACATCAGCACAATGTACACGCATATACTATGGGGTACAGCGGCGAGAAGAGATCACCTTAAACACAGCAAGTACTTTATGTGCACTTGTTTCCGCTGCTCCGACCCTACTGAGTTGGGCACACACTTCTCTGCTCTACGTTGTAAACAGTGCACTAATGGTTTTATGCTGTCAGCCGCGCCACTAGACGAACTGGCCTCCTGGATCTGCACCACCTGTAACGGCACCATGACTGCTGAAGAAGTAACAGACATAAATCTAAAATTAGGAGAGGAAATTGAGGCAGCGCTTGCCATGCCGGTTTTGCAATCTCTAGAAAAATTAGTTCAGCGTCATGCTAAAACTACCGTCCACCCGAATCATTTCCATCTGTTCGCGGCTCGCCACACAGTCCTGCAGATGTATGGCCGCGATCCTTCCAGCGTAGGCCAGGAGTCCATGAAGAAGAAGGAGAAGATGTGTCAGGACTTCTTGAAGGTATGCACGGCTTTGGATCCCGGCATGGCCAGACTGGCGCCTTATGCGGGTGTAGCACTTTATGAGTATCACTTAGCAGTCCTCGCCCGCGCACGCCAGGAACCTGACGCCAAGCAGGTTGACACCGTAGCTCTCAAAAAAGACGTGGAGACGGCTAAGGCCCTCCTTCAGCAGTGTATCCGTGTGCTACAAGATGAACCTAAGGACCAACCCGAGGGACAGCTGTGTCAGGTAGCTCAACAGAACTTAGCAGAGCTGCGGCAGTGGGAAGCGACGTTATCCTCCCCTTAAACGTTCCTGCTACAGGTATATGTGTTGCCATGGTAGGGTTCTTGCATTGCCCACTAATGTCGCCTTTTCAACCCTCGACATTGCTCACTGGCTACTCTGAGGGTGTCGCTAGTCATGACGTTAGTCAAGAGACTGCAGTTACTTCTGGGAAAGGTAATCTTTGCCAATGTCAGTCACGATGAATCTGGTGTTATAGTAAAGGGTGCTATATGCTATACACCTATGTGCTATACAGTTCACATCCTGATGACTCCCCAGAGATGAGAAATAGGCTAAAATTGATGTTTCAAAACTCAGATTGCAGTGAACTATAGATTACCTCACGAAATAGTCTACGGTCACCATAGACTTGAATTTGTTTAAAGAGTAACTGTTTAGAGTGTGTGAAGCAGCAAGGGAGTTAACCTGGTTAAGACAAACATTGAGTGTGTGAAGCAGCAAGGGAGGTAACCTTGTTAAGACAAACATTGAGTGCTGGCCTCCGTCCACTGGATCTTAACAAATGCGGCCGAAATTTGTTGCGTCCGGTAATAGGTGTAAGATAAATTACGTTTCTGCTTTATGGAACCTGAAACAAAACTTACGTGATAAGTGTTACATACTAAAGAATTTCACGTGTTAAATGAAAGCGTGGATGTTATCTTTACTTACCATTAAGTGTATAATTATGAAGAAAAGTAATAATGTTTGTTAAACCGGAAATGTGTTAAGCTGTTGTCCTTTGGTAATAAGAGTAAAGATCTCTTAAAACTTTCATGTTTCATTACAAATCCTCATGAATCAAACCTTCATTAAAAAACCAGCTGCACACACACACACACACACACACACAACACACACACATATATATATATATATTATATATATATATATATATATATATATATATATATATAATATATATATATATATATATATATATATATATATATATATATATAATGTGTGTGTGTGCGTGCACGCTTGCTTGCTTACAGAAATCTAGTGTGCCTGGTAAATTTCGAGCGCTTGCCAAGGACCTATCATGCTAAATATATCTTCAGTCTTGTAGGTTCCACCTCACCCTGCTTTCTTGATACAGACGCACTCACGCTAAGAAACGGGGCCAGGAGCAGAGACTAAACACAATTTGGTGAGTACGCACTCACTTGTATCCCTTACTCTTTTACTTGCCCATTCACTCACTCACTTGCTCTCAACATAGCTGTTAGTGATTGATGGAACCCGAAATTGGTGAATAACCTCATAAAACTTACTAGTACATAGAAGAAAAGATAATTAGGCGACTCATAATTCTGTGTTAGCGTTTTTGGCTCATAAACCAGAGGATCCGAGTTCAATCCTGAGCGAAATGAAAGGAATGGGCAGGTCTCCATTCACCTGCTGTCCCTGTTAACCTAGCAGCAAACAGGTACCTGGGTGGTATTAGTCAAATGTTATGGGTGACATCCTGGGCTTCGAAATAAATTAATGCACTAAAAATTCTACAGTGTAAAGCAGGAAAATTTAATAAGAACTGGTGTTGACTTGGAATCTTGATAAAACACTTGACGTTATGCATGACGTTGATACTGGTGAAGGGCTGTTGATACCGGGAGCTGGATATAACTATAGACTGGTTATAAATGACCATAATTTTTAAAGGGGTGGACCGGTAAGCCAGCGGAAGGCCTCGGTCAGATGACCAAAAGCTCCAAAGGCGGGTCATCATCTGACTAAGACCCGCGTCAGGAAACATTTGTCCTGTTTCCTGACGAACCTTACCTAACCTAACCTAACGGGAGCTGGAGCTACCCTTCCCATCCTCAGATAAAGGCTGATTACTTTCCATTCCCCGAGGGACGATAGCTGTGACCGAGATATGGTCTGAGAGACCGTGGTTAATTGATGGTTTGTGTGTATCATGAAAGACCATGATTGATTGATAGTCCGTGTGTAGCCTGAAACCGGGTTGACTCTTGGTGTGTGTATGCCTGTGAGATCCTGGCTGTGATTGGCTAATAGTTGGTTTAATACCTGACAGACGGTGGCCGTGATTAGCTAATATGTTTAGAGCGTGAGAGACGGTGGCTGTGATTAGCTAATGGTTTATTTAAAGCCTGAGATTCAGTGGCTGTGATTGGCTGCTGCTACTGTGTTCCGGGCGCTGTGTCCACCTCGTGTTATTTTGGGTCGAGTTCTTCACCCTCTCTTGTCCTCACCAGGAAAACACAATCTCACCCTCCTAAAATTGCTAGCCTGTTCCTCAGAAGATTACAGAGGCACATAATGGGTCTAGAGACTCCCTCAATATGACAGGCACGTATTGGGATTAGAAACTGTGCCTCAACATTACAAAGACACATAATGGGTCCAGAGACTGTTCATGAACATAACAGATACATAATGGGTCCAGGGAGTGTATCTCAACATTAGAGGCATATAATGGGTCCAGGGACTGCATCTCTACAGAGGAGTCAGGAACTGTCAATCGACCCCTGCAGTCATAAGTAGGTGAATACATAATAGGTTCAGGGACTGGACTGCAACATTCTGATAACTGAACAAGTTACAGTTGATAATGAACTATGTACATGTTTATGTCTGGTCACAATCGTAATGAGTTATATATAGACAACGTCATGTGTGTTGAACGATGGTAAGTAGGCAGTGGTTCCCAAACTGGGGGTAAATTACCCCCTGGGGGTAATTTAACCATTTTTGGGGGGTAATGGAGGGGTGACAGAAAAAAAGTTATGAATTCTGAAAATCAAGAAAACAATGCGGTACCCGGTATGAGGATTATTGTTAACTTTGTCTTAGTATATAAAGTTGTAAAGTAAACCTATTATAAGTAAGTAATAAAGTTAAACCAAATAACAATAAACATCAAAAACTAATATACAGTATTAGAAAAGAAGAAATATATAGCTAAGTGTGTGGAAACCCAAAAGTATTTTGACAAGTATGCTTCAGGACAAAAGTCACTCAGTAGCCCAGATCGACCTGTCCAGTACGCTCACTCACTTCCTGAGGCTGCCTCTATTTCACACTGTCAGTTTATCTGTGAGCATCAGCCGAGGTAAACATAAGCTGGTATGTATGTGTACTGCCCTGTGCAGTATATAGTTAGTATTTACCCACTGTTACTGTGCATTTGTAGCTATTATTAATTTTATATATAATGTATGTGTGGTTCTTACGTTTTCAATGGTTTTGCTAGGATTAGCAGAGTATGCGAGGCTGTATACGTTCACGTTTAGCCATATATATCAATAATAACAACATTTTGTGAAAGGGGTAACATGCTTTATGTGGCATGTTAAATTGGGTAACAAGCTGAAAAAGTTTGGGAACCACTTTAAGTAGGTATGATGTTTGTCGGGAAGCAGGACAAGTGTTTCCTGATGCGGGTCTCAGTTACATAAGTTCCTTTCGTCTAACTCACCCAAAAATTATGTCATGTTTATTATGTTTTCCTCAGTCTACGCTCTAAAAATATTGACATTCATATCCCATTTTCTTTATTTTGATATTTTTCAATAATTCCCGTTTTCCTATCCACGTCCCATTTTCTTTTATTTTTATCCATTTTCATTTTCCTTATTGATCTGTACTTTTCCAAGCCTTCTTATCTTCCTCATTACTACACTGTCTATCCGTCTATCTTCCTCTCATTGAGTCTGCTCTCTCCACCGTCCCTCACCTCCCTCCCTCACCACCGTCTCTCCCTCACCTCCCTCCCTCACCACCGTCTCTCCCTCACCTCCCTCCCTCACCACCGTCTCTCCTTCACCTCCCTCCCTGGCTGCGGGTGTCTACTCTCAAGTTATGTTTATATATAAACCTTCACCCACGTGGACAGTTCACCCCAACCTTCCCCACCTCACCCCTCCTGTGGGGTGCCCACCACCACCACCTCCCCCACGACAGGGACCTCCACCTCCACGGAAGATGTCTGGCTTATTAACCCGGAGGGTCAGTAACCCAGGATAACTCATTAAAGCCACTGTCAGCAGACCAGCTCGTCAACAATGTCAGCAGACCAGCTCGTCAACACTGTCAGCAGGTTGAACATCAAAATGGTATACAATACCGACAGGTTGTTAGGTAAGACACATATGCAACAGTTAGACAACTTCATTCCGAAACGTTTCGCCTACACAGTAGGCTTCTTTAGTCGAATACAGAAAGTAGGCAGGAACAGTAGAGATGTGAAGACGATGTAATCAGTCCATCACCCTTAAAGTCGTAGAATTTGAGGTTGTCAGTCCCTCGGCCTGGAGAAGTTCAGTTCCATAGTCAGGAACTATCTGAAGATCAAGCGACAGTGCGGAGACTTAAATACTGTCGGAAGGAGAGGTGCAGGGTAGTAGTAGTAGTAGTAGTAGTGAGAGGCCACTGAGAGGTCATGTCCCTCTCAGATCCAACACTTCTCACTTGAAAAAGCTTGTCCAAGGTGTTTTCTGTACCAAGATGCCACGTGTTGCAGTGTCTGACAAGATAAACATCAAAATGGTATACAATACCGACAGGTTGTTAGGTAAGACACATATGCAACAGTTAGACAACTTTATTCCGAAACGTTTCGCCTACACAGTAGGCTTCTTCAGTTGAATACAGAAAGTAGGCAGGAACAGTAGAGATGTGAAGACGATGTAATCAGTCCATCACCCTTAAAGTCGTAGAATTTGAGGTTGTCAGTCCCTCGGCCTGGAGAAGTTCAGTTCCATAGTCAGGAACTATCTGAAGATCACGATACGATAGGACTCACAGGTAAGGACCCACGAGGGGCGAGGGGCAAGTGGGGACAGTGCGAAGAATAGACGGTGAGAGGAATGTCTTGAGTCGAAGAGAGAAGAGTCAGGACTAAACCCAACTGCTAAGCCTGAATGACGATGATGAAAGACGATGTAGACAACAGGAACTCTGCAGGAGCTGACTGCAACTTGCTGGATGGAAGATTTCTGCTTCTTGATGGTGATTGGTGGCTGCAGGCGACAAGGGAGGGGCTCAACGTTGATTGGTCATTACATAATGGCTTGGTGGTTACTTGGAATTGTGGCGTTTTTTGACGAAGAAAGTGTCCTTGGAGAGGCAAGTTCCATTTTTGAGTTGTTTAAAGCGTTGGAGAGGAATTATCATGAGGCGAGTTAAGGAGTGTTCATATTGAGGAGTTTTACACCAAAGGTCAAAATTTGCCATAATGGTGGAAAGATTAACGGGATCAGCTTCTTTAGAAGGTCCAACGACATACTTGACTGTCTTGTTGATGAGGCGAGATTTTAGTTCAGCTGGCTCCATGTCCTGAGGATAATTTACTGTGGTACAGAAAGATACGTTGTACCATCTAACATAATGGTATTTTTCTTCTGGTACAGTATCATATCTTGGGTCTTGAGATGGTATTATTGGTGCTGGTGAATGTACATTTACATCTTCATCTTCTTCTTCTTCAATGGACGAATGGGAAGATGTTTCTGGTGGAAAGGCTTCTGATTGGTCGGTTTCTTTGAGGAGTGGAGGCGATGGAGACTTCTCATTGGACGTTGCTGGAGTGACGTCACTAGATGTTGGTGGTGTTGGAGCTGCTGATGCAGAAGTGTTGATTAGGTCCTTGGTAAATTTGAGTATTTCTTCCGAAGGTGGAGATGCTGGGAATATAAATGATGGCATATTATTTAGTGCAAATAACTCGTTGATGGTAGAGTTAAAAGATCCAGGTGCAGCCATATTTTGCATGTGAGCGTATAGTAGACAGTAGTGGATCTTGGTTACGTCACATGCTGGAGGAGTGATGATGGTGGAGGCTGGCTGAGTAGTAGCTTGAAGTAATTTCGTAGTATTAGCTTGGATCTTTGCAATTGCTGCATACGTTGGTGTGTTGCTAGTAGGTTTTTTCTTTGCTGCTTCTTGTGTTTTCTTCACAATATCCTTACGTGTAGGACATTTTGCTGCCAGTGTATGGTGGTCGTTGCTCTTACAGTTTAAACACGATGGTTGTGGTGGAGTAGCAATGGTGCAGGAACTGAAGGTGTGTCCCTCACTACCACATGTAGTGCAGAACTTCTTGTCTTTTACTGGACATGCTTTGGTGGTGTGATGGTAAGAATAACAGTTCCAGCAGTGTTGGATGTACTGATATCTCTCTGCTTCGATGTAGGTTGGACTGATGAAGTAGTAGTAAACAGCAAGACCTTCAGTCAGAGCAGTGGCAGCCATGTTAACGTCGGTGAAGGTGACCTTGAGCATGGACGATGCATTCGGGATTTTTGTGATGCTGTCAACAGTAGCCCAAGTATTTTGCGTCTCGATGGATGTCTTGAGTTCTGCAGGTGATTGAGACGTCAGAATCTTGTCCAGTTTTTTGAGGAATACTGATTTCCTGGCCTTGAGGGCAGGAGATGACATAACAGTAAACCCTTGAGCAGTGAGTGTAGTGGTGGCATCTGTAGTGAGTAGCTTCTCTGCTTCAGCATCGTCGTGACACACAACAATGAATGCTTCTTTCAGAGACAAAATGGCGTTGAATTTAACTTGCAGTGTTCCTTGAACAGCAGTTGCAAGAGCAATCTTCGTTGAATCATCAACGGTACCACTTGTTGGCTTGATCTTGACACGATTTGCGTAGCTCATCGTGCATGAAGGTGAAGACGACGCTGGTACAGGTTCCCCTCCCCAACGGGGATCGCAGGGAGAGAGTAGGGAAGACTTCACCCAGCTACAAGAGTGCAGAGGCCAACTGTCTGCCCAGGGGCAGGCAGCCAGCTACGCACCAAGTCCTGGAGCGGGATGAAGAATTCCTCTTCTCTTGCCTGTTCCAATTGCTGAGTGTCGAGGTCTGATCCTCCCAACCAGGAGCAGGAGCAGGTACGTCTTGCCAGTGCAGAAGCCAGTCGAAGAGTCCCTCCCTGAAGATCAAGCGACAGTGCGGAGACTTAAATACTGTCGGAAGGAGAGGTGCAGGGTAGTAGTAGTAGTAGTAGTAGTAGTGAGAGGCCACTGAGAGGTCATGTCCCTCTCAGATCCAACACTTCTCACTTGAAAAGCTTATCCAAGGTGTTTTCTGTACCAAGATGCCACGTGTCGCAGTGTCTGACAAGATGAACATCAAAATGGTATACAATACCGACAGGTTGTTAGGTAAGACACATATGCAACAGTTAGACAACTTTATTCCGAAACGTTTCGCCTACACAGTAGGCTTCTTCAGTCGAATACAGAAAGTAGGCAGGAACAGTAGAGATGTGAAGACCTAACAACCTGTCGGTATTGTATACCATTTTGATGTTCATCTTGTCAGACACTGCAACACGTGGCATCTTGGTACAGAAAACACCTTGGATAAGCTTTTCAAGTGAGAAGTGTTGGATCTGAGAGGGACATGACCTCTCAGTGGCCTCTCACTACTACTACTACTACTACTACTACTACCCTGCACCTCTCCTTCCGACAGTATTTAAGTCTCCGCACTGTCGCTTGATCTTCAGATAGTTCCTGACTATGGAACTGAACTTCTCCAGGCCGAGGGACTGACAACCTCAAATTCTACGACTTTAAGGGTGATGGACTGATTACATCGTCTTCACATCTCTACTGTTCCTGCCTACTTTCTGTATTCGACTGAAGAAGCCTACTGTGTAGGCGAAACGTTTCGGAATAAAGTTGTCTAACTGCTGCATATGTGTCTTACCTAACAAACTGTCAGCAGACCAGCTCGTCAACATTGTCAGCAGACCAGCTCGTCAACACTGGCTGGTCAGTGTTATAACGAAGACCTGCACAACACAACCCTGGACCAGGTTTGCTAAACCTTGAAAATGTTCATAATTCACCTTGTCTGAGTGGTAGACTGGTAGCGCACTCACCTCACACACTGAGGTCCGACGTTCGATTCCCGGTACGGCTGGAAACATTAGGGCATGTCTCTTTAAGACACCTGCTGTCCATGTTCACTCATCAGTAAAATAGGTACCTGGGTGTTAGTAGACTGGTGTGGGTCGCATCCTGGGGACAAAATTGACCTAATTTGCGGGCAATGCTCTACATAATAAGGGACTTTCTATATAGTAGTATGTCGTGCCGAATAGGCAGAACTTGCGATCTTGGCTTAAATAGCAACGCTCATCTTGCCATATAGGACAAGTGAAAATTTGTGTATGCAATAATTTCGCCAAAATCATTCTGAACCTAACGAAAAAAATATATTTGATTGTGTTTCTTTAGTACTAAATTACTGTAAAGGTATTTAAAATATATTTAGTTGGGTTAGGCTAAAATAAATTGTTCTTGCTATAATAAGGTTAGGTAAGTTTTCTAAGATCCTTTTGGAGCAAAATTAAAAATTTTTACATTAACATTAATGAAAAAAATATATCTTTAAACGTATAAGAGAAAATTTTAGAAAAGACTCAATTTTAAATGAGTTCTTGCTAATTGACCAGTTTTACTATTCGGCAGGGACATATATATATTATATATATATATATATATATAAAAATATATATATTATATATATATATATATATTATATATATATATATTATATTTTATAAAGGAGGTTTTGTGGGTAAGGGGCTTGGACTTCAGCAAGCGTGCGTGAGCGTGTTGATAGGATGTGAATGGAGACGAATGGTACTTGGGACCTGACGATCTGTTGGAGTGTGAGCAGGGTAATATTTAGTGAAGGGATTCAGGGGGAAAACCCGGGTTTTTTTCATATAGTCGGGGCTTGAGTCCTGGAAATGGGAAGTACAATGCCTGCACTTTAAAGGAGGGGTTTGGGATATTGGCAGTTTGGGAAGGGATATGTTGTGTACTTTATATGTTTAAGCTTCTAGACTGTTGTATTCTGAGCACCCCTGCAAAAACAGTGATAATGTGCGAGTGTGGTGAAAGTGTTGAATGATGATGAAAGTATTTTTTTTTTTGGGGATTTTCTTTCTTTTTTGGGTCACCCTGCCTCGGTGGGAGACGGCCGACTTGTTGAAAAAAAAAAAAAAAAAAAAAAATTTATATATATATATATATATATTATATATATTATATATATATTATATATATATATATTATATATATATACTGATACATGGCCACTCAGTTATCCTAGGTAATTTATACACATGTAATAGGATAGGTCAGGTAAGGTTTGTCAAGAAACAGGACAAGTGTTTGCTTACGCGGGTCTTGGTTATATGATGACCCCCCATATGGAGCTTTTGGTCAACTGACCGAGGCCTTCCACTGGCTTACCCTTCCACCCCCCCCTTTAAAAATTAGATAATTCACATGTGTGATAATTATACTTATGTGGATCTATACCTAAATAAACTTACACCTCAATGTGTATTATACACAGAATATACATCTCTCAGTGTATATATTCTGCAATCAAGGTTAAATATTCGCGTCTTAATAAACTAAAATTATATATCATAAAATATATGTTAAAACAGAGGTACTAACAGCACATCAACACATCTTCCTGCCCATGATGTCACCCAGGAACCTATTTCTAAAATTATCTATAAAGAGTCACTAAGTTGGAGGTAGAGTCATAGATGTGACGCCGAGGACAACAGAAAACGGGAGACCTGACCAGAAAAAATATTTATATATATTCTTTTGGGGGCAAATGAGAAATTTAATTTCTTAATTATTGTTTTCAGTATTGGAGTAGAGAGTAAGTGAGGAGGGGAGGGGGAGAGAGAGAAAATAAGAGAGAGAGAGAGAGAGAGAGAGAGAGAGAGAGAGAGTTTGATGAACTTCTGTGATTAATATAAATACCAAAACTTATACACGTGACCAACTCAACAAAAGGAAGAGTTGTTAGTTTACATTTAGTGGAAAGGGTGACATAAACCACGTAAACCGTGCGGTAAGACAACGTCAAGACGATTCCCGATGCCAAGGTGGGTGCCAGCCAGACGTAGAAGCAGGAAGGAGAGGGGTGACTTGTGTGTTGTGCTGCGTCGTGGACGCTGTCTAGAGTGCCATGTGTGTGTGTCCCTGCTGACCCTCGCTACCTGCTGAGGCTCAGCACTGTCAGGTAGGCCTAGGGAGGACTCCCAGCACTCATACACCAGGGTAGACGCTGCAGCGGAGTGAAAACTGTGACCCAGTAACAACCCACCGAGTCTGTCATCGAAAACTAGATCCTTTTTGTTATATATAAAAATATATATAATTATTATATATATATATATATATATATATATATATATATAATATATTATATATATATATATAAACCAGTGAATTTGTGGTTAATGATACAAGTTACATGAGAGTTTTGGTGAAGATAATACAAATTTTGATATAATTTATAAAATACTCTTAATTGAAACTATAAACCAATATTACAACAGCAAAAATAATAAGAGATGTTTGTCTGTCAGTGTATATATATACATAGTTCACATTATTCACTGTATTAGGTATTAAAGTATTCTTGGCGGGTAGTGCACAGTAGATAGGTTTAAAACCCAATTAAGAAAGAATACTTAAAACTCAGTAATTTTTTTATACAGAAATAAGCAAGTTAATGTATATAAGTAATATTGTTTGACTTTCTTGGTTCTACGAATAATCCAAATTTCTCACTTTCTCCTCCATCTTTTCATTTCTCTCTTCTTTATTTTATTATTTGCATTATTATCATTATTTTTCTGTTTATTCTTCTTGTTGTTATTCTTATTATCGCTTTTTTCTTTTCTTCTATAATCATCGGTGATATCAGCCAAATTAAAAATTTATATACATGCTATCAAAATAAGTGTTAGAACCATATTCATGTGGAAGGCTAAACCCGTGTGGGTGGCTGAGTGCTGGGGAATGCTGCAGGTTCCACCCTCGAGATGTGATGCTCTCCCAGGGAGCGAGGCTGGATGACAGCATCCACACTGCTGGTGTAAGTTTGATCCTCCGTCCTCATAATCATGCCGGAAATGTGAGGCGGCAGTGTGAATTATATTTCGAAAGTGCAAAAAAAAAAATGGTGGGTAATGTGGAACTTCTTAATTACTGTGTATGTATATTAATAGCGTGTGTGAGGTTGGTTACTGACATGAGCATTGCTAGTACGGTTCTCTCTATATAAACATGACAAACCATACCCCCGGCAGGGATTGAACCCGCGGTCATAGTCTCAAAACTCCAGCCCGTCGCGTTAGCCACTAGACCAGCTAGCCACAATAAGATTCATCCAACTAGGTATATTTCTACACCATAGGAAGGTTAGCACAGGCACCTCTGTGACCACAAATGCAAGTTTTTACAGACGAATCTCCAGCTAGCGTGGCCGTGACGAACTCTAGCTCAAGTCCCTTCACTGCCGTCAACATGACTCAAGAAATCGTAATGACACGATTGACGGCAGTGAAGGGACTTGAGCTAGAGTTCGTCACGGCCACGCTAGCTGGAGATTCGTCTGTAAAAACTTGCATTTGTGGTCACAGAGGTGCCTGTGCTAACCTTCCTATGGTGTAGAAATATACCTAGTTGGATGAATCTTATTGTGGCTAGCTGGTCTAGTGGCTAACGCGACGGGCTGGAGTTTTGAGACTATGACCGCGGGTTCAAGCCCGGCCGGGGGTATGGTTTGTTTGCAATCGTGTCATTACGATTTCTTGAGGCATAAACATGACGTGACATAACGCTACACAGAGCGAAACTGAGCTTGATACCTATTTACCACTAGGTGGTACCTGTGTAATGTTAAAAATTGCTTTGTTCAACGTGTTAAATGGTAACTCTTCCTCAGGTCCCGCCGGAGGATGGGCGAAGCTTCCACCGACATGGCGGACGGTGCAACCATAGAAGGGCGTGTGGGTGGCGATGTGGGCGGCAGTGTGGATGGCGATGTGGGTGGGAAGTGTGGTGGGTGTGGGTGTGAAGCACACACCAAGTGTACTGGGTGTCGCAGTGTTTACTACTGTAGCAGACAGTGTCAGAAGAAAGGATGGCCCGGACACAAGGATCAGTGTAGACCCTTTACGGTAAGTGTATGTGTGTGTGTGTGTGTGTGTGTGTGTGTGTGTGTGTGTGTGTACTTACCTAATTGTGGTTGGAGGGGTCGAGTCATAGTTCCTGGCTCCGCCTCTTCACTGGTCACTACTAGGTCCTCTCTCTTCCTGCTCCACGAGCTTTATAAAACCTCATCTTAAAACTATTTATGGTTCCTGCCTCCACTACGTCACTTTCCAGACTATTCCACTTCGTGTGTGTGTGTGTGTGTGTGTATGTTTGAGTGTGTGTGTGTGTGTGTGTGTGTGTGTGTGTGTGTGTGAGTATTTTTGAGAGTTCGCTGAAAGCTCAGTGAGACAGAGAGCTAAAATTAAAGTTATGAAAGGTTTGGCCACAATTCTTAGCCTTAGACACAGTCTTTAAGTCTTGGACACAACCCTTCAGTCTTGGACATAACTCCCAACCATGGACACAACTCAAGCCTTGGACAAGACCACATCTCTCTTTGATGGCTATCTAAGACGTGTCTGGTTGTGGTGCAGGTCAGCAAGAACAAGGAGGTGGGTCGCTTACTGGTAGCATCCAGAGACCTGGATGTGGACGACTTCATCCTGAGGGAGGCGCCGCTGGTGCTGGGACCAAAACAGGAGACGGAACCTGTCTGTCTCGCCTGCTACAGGAGGGTCTCCGGAAGGTACAGGTAAGAGAGTAGTGGCTGTGCCAGAGGCAGCCAGAATTACATGGTTCGTAGAGTTTTATAATATATATATATATATATATATATATATATATATATATATATATATATATATATTATATATATATATATATATATATATATATATATATATATATATATATATTTATTTATTAATAAACCAGAGGAATATTATATGCACCTCAGGTGATCTCTTGACCTCGTTTTGTGTGATATGTGACCCTGTGTTGTAACCCTTAGGTGCTCGAGGTGCTCGTGGCCCCTATGTGGGCCCAAGTGTGAGAACAAACCTGACCACCAGCCGGAGTGTGAGGTCACCAGAGCAGCCGGGGTCACCATCGATATAGACGATGCTGATGGAGGACCTCACCACCTCTACGAGGTCGTCACCGCCCTCAGGTACCTCTCACATGCCTCATACATGGCCAGACAAGGTCACATATGGCCAGGCAGGGTCAAACATAGCCAGACAGAGATACACATGGCCAGGCAGGGTCACACATGGACAGACAGGATCACACATGGCCAGGCAGAGTCACACATGGCCAGACAGGATCACACATAGCCAGGTAGGGTCACATATAGCCAGAGTCAAACATGGCCAGGTAGTCACACATGGCCAGACAGGATCACACATAGCCAGGCAGGGTCACATATAGCCAGAGTCAAACATGGCCAGGCAGGGTCACACATAGCCAGGCAGGGTCACACATAGCCAGACAGGATCACACATAGCCAGGTAGGGTCACATATAGCCAGAGTCAAACATGGCCAGGTAGTCACACATGGCCAGACAGGATCACACATAGCCAGGCAGGGTCACATATAGCCAGAGTCAAACATGGCCAGGCAGGGTCACACATAGCCAGGCAGGGTCACACATGGTCAGTATTGCGCCCCATGAATGGGGCCCAGTTTACATAATGTATATTATCCCTCAACCTGGTGGTCAGTCCCTCAACCTGGTGATCAGTCCCTCAACCTGGTGGTCAGTCCCTCAACCTGGTGATCAGTCCCTCAACCTGGTGATCAGTCCCTCAACCTGGTGATCAGTCCCTCTACCTGGTGGTCAGTCCCTCAACCTGGTGATCAGTCCCTCAACCTGGTGATCAGTCCCTCAACCTGGTGGTCAGTCCCTCAACCTGGTGATCAGTCCCTCAACCTGGTGATCAGTCCCTCTACCTGGTGGTCAGTCCCTCAACCTGGTGATCAGTCCCTCAACCTGGTGATCAGTCCCTCAACCTGGTGATCAGTCCCTCAACCTGGTGATCAGTAACTCAACCTGGTGATCAGTCCCTCAACCTGGTGATCAGTCCCTCAACCCGGTGATCAGTCCCTCAACCCGGTGATCAGTCCCTCAACCTGGTGATCAGTCCCTCAACCTGGTGATCAGTCTCTCAACCTGGCTATCAGTCCCTCAACTTGGTGATCAGTCCCTCAACCTGGTGATCAGTCCCTCAACCTGGTGATCAGTCCCTCAACCTGGTGATCAGTCCCTCAACCTGGTGATCAGTCCCTCAACCTGGTGATCAGTCTCTCAACCTGGCTATCAGTCCCTCAACCTGGTGATCAGTCCCTCAACCTGGTGATCAGTCCCTCAACCTGGTGATCAGTCCCTCAACCTGGTGACCAGTCCCTCAACCTTGTGATCAGTCTCTCAACCTGGTGATCAGTCCCTCAACCTGGTGATCAGTCCCTCAACTTGGTGATCAGTCTCTCAACCTGGTTATCAGTCCCTCAGCCTGGTGATCAGTCCCTCAGCCTGGTGATCAGTCCCTCAACCTGGTGATCAGTCCCTCGACCTGGTGATCAGTCCCTCAACCTGGTGATCAGTCCCTCAACCTGGTGATCAGTCTCTCAACCTGGTGGTCAGTCCCTCAACCTGGTGGTCAGTCCCTCAACCTGGTGATCAGTCCCTCAACCTGGTGATCAGTCCCTCAACCTGGTGATCAGTCCCTCAACCTGGTGATCAGTCCCTCAACCTGGTGATCAGTCTCTCAACGTGGCTATCAGTCCCTCAACCTGGTGATCAGTCCCTCAACCTGGTGGTCAGTCCCTCAACCTGGTGATCAGTCCCTCAACCTGGTGATCAGTCCCTCAACCTGGTGATCAGTCCCTCAACCTGGTGATCAGTCTCTCAACGTGGCTATCAGTCCCTCAACCTGGTGATCAGTCCCTCAGCCTGGTGATCAGTCCCTCGACCTGGTGAGCAGTCCCCAAACGTTGTGATCAGTCCCTCAACCTAGTGATCAGTCCCTCAACCTGATGGTCAGTCCCTCAGCCTGGTGATCAGTCCCTCAACCTGGTGACCAGTCCCTCAGCCTGATCGTCAGTCCCTCAGCCTGGTGATCAGTCCCTCAACCTAGTGATCAGTCCCTCAACCTGATGGTCAGACCCTCAGCCTGGTGATCAGTCCCTCAACCTGGTGATCAGTCCCTCAACCTGGTGATCAGTCCCTCAACCTGGTGATCAGTCCCTCAACCTGGTGATCAGTCCCTCAAGCTGGTGATCAGTCCCTCAAGCTGGTGATCAGTCCCTCAAGCTGGTGATCAGTCCCTCAAGCTGGTGATCAGTCCCTCAAGCTGGTGATCAGTCCCTCAACCTGGTGATCAGTCCCTCAAGCTGGTGATCAGTTCCTCAACCTGGTGATCAGTCCCTCAACCTGGTGATCAGTCCCTCAACCTGGTGATCAGTCTCTCAACCTGGTTATCAGTCCCTCAACCTGATGGTCAGTCTCTCAGCCTGGTGATCAGTCCCTCAACCTGGTGATCAGTCCCTCAACCTGGTGATCAGTCTCTCAACCTGGTTATCAGTCCCTCAACCTGATGGTCAGTCTCTCAGCCTGGTGATCAGTCCCTCAACCTAGTGATCAGTCCCTCAACCTGATGGTCAGTCCCTCAACCTGGTGATCAGCCCCTCAACCTAGTGATCAGTCCCTCAGCCTGATGGCCAGTCCCTCAGCCTGGTGATCAGTCCCTCAACCTGGTGGTCAGTCCCTTAACCTGGTGGTCAGTCCCTCAGCCTGGTGAGCAGTCCCTCAACCTGGTGATCAGTATCTCAACCTGATGGTCAGTCCCTCAGCCTGGTGGTCAGTCCCTCAACCTGATGATCAGTCCCTCAGCCTGGTGATCAGTCCCTCAACCTGGTGGTCAGTCCCTCAACTTGGTGGCCAGTCCCTCAGCCTGGTGAGCAGTCCCTCAACCTGGTGATCAGTCCCTCAACCTGATGGTCAGTCCCTCAGCCTGGTGGTCAGTTCCTCAACCTGGTGATCAGTCCCTTAGCCTGGTGATCAGTCCCTCAACCTGGTGGTCAGTCCCTCAGCCTGGTGATCAGTCCCTCAACCTGGTGGTCAGTCTCTCAACCTGATGGTCAGTCCTTCAATCTGGTAATCAGTCCCTCAGTCTGGCGATCAGTCCCTTAACCTTGTGATTAATCCCTCAACCTGGTGATCAGTCCCTCAACCTGGTAATCAGTCTCTCATCCTGGTGATCAGTCCCTCAACCTGGTGATCAGTCCCCCAACCTGATGGTCAGTCCCTCAATTTGGTAATCAGTCCCTCAGTCTGGCAGTCAGTCTCTCAACCTGGTGATCAGTCCCTCAACCTGGTGATCAGTCCCTCAAGCTGGTGATCAGTCCCTCAGCCTGGTGATCAGTCCCTCAACCTGGTGATCAGTCCCTCAACCTGGTGATCAGTCCCTCAACCTGGTGATCAGTCCCTCAACCTGGTGATCAGTCCCTCAACCTGGTGATCAGTCCCTCAACCTGGTGATCAGTCTCAACCTGGTTATCAGTCCCTCAACCTGGTGATCAGTCCCTCAACCTGGTGATCAGTCCCTCAACCTGGTGATCAGTCCCTCAACCTGGTGATCAGTCCCTCAACCTGGTGATCAGTCTCTCAACCTGGTTATCAGTCCCTCAACCTGGTGATCAGTCCCTCAACCTGGTGATCAGTCCCTCAACCTGGTGATCAGTCCCTCAACCTGGTGATCAATCCCTCAACCTGGTGATCAGTCCCTCAACCTGGTGATCAGTCTCTCAACCTGGTTATCAGTCCCTCAACCTGGTGATCAGTCCCTCAACCTGGTGATCAGTCCCTCAACCTGGTTATCAGTCCCTCAACCTGGTGATCAGTCCCTCAACCTGATGGTCAGTTCCTCAGCCTGGTGATCAGTCCCTCAGCCTGGCGATCAGTCCCTCGACCTGGTGATCAGTCCCCAAACGCGGTGATCAGTCCCTCAACCTGGTGATCAGTCCCTCAACCTGGTGATCAGTCCCTCAACCTAGTGATCAGTCCCTCAACCTGATGGTCAGTCCCTCAACCTGGTGATCAGTCCCTCAACCTAGTGATCAGTCCCTCAGCCTGATGGTCAGTCCCTCAGCCTGGTGATCAGTCCCTCAACCTGGTGGTCAGTCCCTCAGCCTGGTGAGCAGTCCCTCAACCTGGTGATCAGTCTCTCAACCTGATGGTCAGTCCCTCAGCCTGGTGGTCAGTCCCTCAACCTGGTGATCAGTCCCTCAGCCTGGTGATCAGTCTCTCAGCCTGGTGATCAGTCCCTCAACCTGGTGGTCAGTCCCTCAACCTGGTGGCCAGTCCCTCAGCCTGGTGAGCAGTCCCTCAACCTGGTGATCAGTCCCTCAACCTGGTGGTCAGTCCCTCAGCCTGGTGGTCAGTCCCTCAACCTGGTGATCAGTCCCTCAGCCTTATGATCAGTCCCTCAACCTGGTGGTCAGTCCCTCAGCCTGGTGATCAGTCCCTCGACCTGGTGGTCAGTCTCTCAACCTAGTGATCAGTCCCTCAACCTGGTGATCAGTCCCTCAACCTGGTGATCAGTCCCCCAACCTGATGGTCAGTCCCTCAATTTGGTAATCAGTCCCTCAGTCTGGCAATCAGTCTCTCAACCTGATGATCAGTCCCTCAACCTGGTGGTCAGTCCCTCAACCTGGTGGTCAGTCCCTCAGCCTGGTGGTCAGTCCCTCAGTTTGGTGGTCAGTCCCTCAGCTTGGTGGTCAGTTCCTCATCCTGGTCATCAGTCCCTCAGCCTGGTCATCAGTCCCTCAACCTGGTGATCAGTCCCTTAACCTGGTGATCAGTCCCTTAACCTGGTGGTCAGTCCCTCAACCTGGTGATCAGTCCCTCAACCTGGTGATCAGTCCCTCAACCTGGTGATCAGTCCCTTAACCTGGTGGTCAGTCCCTCAACCTGGTGATTAGTCCCTCAACCTGGTGGTCAGTCCCTTAACCTGGTGATCAGTCTCTCAACCTGGTGATCAGTCCCTCAACCTGGTGGTAAGTCCCTCAACCTGGTGATCAGTCCCTCAACGTGGTGATCAGTCCCTCAACCTGGTGATCAGTCTCTCAACCTGGTGATCAGTCCCTCAACCTGGTGGTCAGTCCCTCAACCTTGTGATCAGTCCCTCAACCTGGTGATCAGTCCCTCAACCTGGTGATCAGTCCCTCAACCTGGTGATCAGTCCCTCAACCTGGTGGTCAGTCCCTCAACCTGGTGATCAGTCCCTCAACCTGGTGATCAGTCCCTCAACCTGGTGATCAGTCCCTCAACCTGGTGATCAGTCCCTCAACCTGGTGATCAGTCCCTCAACCTGGTGATCAGTCTCTCAACCTGGTGATCAGTCCCTCAACCTGGTGATCAGTCCCTCAACCTGGTGATCAGTCCCTCAACCTGGTGATCAGTCCCTCAACCTGGTGATCAGTCCCTCAACCTGGTGATCAGTCCCTCGGTAAGTTTGAGGTAATCAGTCCTCCTCCAACTCTTGAACTGAGCACACACCAAAACTGAGGGACTGATCACCTCATATCTACAACTGTTATCTCCTCTGTATTTCAACTGAAGAAGCCAGCTGAGCAGGCAAAACCTTTCATCAATATTGATACAAGATTGTTGCATATAGGCCTACGTCTATTTTATCTACTCATGTGTATTATCTACCGTAATGTAAAATGGCCTAATTTATGTTTGGTGTTGAAGCCCTTGTGGTTTAGCGCTTCTTTTGGATTATAATAAAAATAATAATAATATTTGGTGTTGGCTAGTCGTGATCTATCTACTTAAGTGTTCCAACTCCATTTGTAGATGCTTGGTGTTGGCTGGTCGTGATCCGAGGCGCTGGAGGATGTGTACAGAGAGATTCAACAGCAGGTACCCGAGGTGTGTTGGTCACGACGTAGTTCATCTTCTCAGAAACACTTTCAAGATCCACCAGTACCCGGGTGTGGATGGGTCTGAAGCTGCTATACACGCGGTCAGTACGCACGTGGTTGACAGTCGGTAAACACGTGGTTGACATACAGTCAGTACACACATGGTTAATATCTCCCAAAACTCATTTTTACAACCTTTCCAGAGTACGAGTTATGGTCCAGTACTGGACCATTATATTGGTCCAGTACTGGACCATTATACGGGCCCAGTACGGTACCATTATACTGGTCCAGTACGGTACCATTATACTGGTCCAGTACGGTACCATTATACTGGTCCAGTACGGTACCATTATACTGGTCCAGTACGGTACCATTATACTGGTCCAGTACGGTACCATTATACTGGTCCAGTACGGTACCATTATACTGGTCCAGTATTGTACCATTATACTGGTCCAGTATTGTATCATTATACTGGTCCAGTGCGGTACCATTATACTGGTCCAGTGCGGTACCATTATACTGGTCCAGTATTGTACCATTATACTGGTTCACATTTATAATGGTTCACAATTGGTCAAAACAATGATATATCAAGAACCGAAATATCGTCTAAGTTAGCTATCCATAACATGTGAGCGATTATGGACAAGATATATGAAGCGCATGACATGGATATGTATACACATACCTGTGGCCCTGAATATATATACTTCTGGATGTTGAAGGTACTCGACATGTACCACTAACGTTGCCATGTGTTGCTCGTAGGTGCTGGGAGTGTTGCAGATCAACCAGGTGCCTACCAAGACAGCTTACGGGGAGGTACAAGCACTCTACCCCATGGCATCCCTGTCTACCCACTCTTGCATGCCCAACACCAAGCCTGTCTTCAAGGTAAGGCAACATCTGCTGATGCATGTGTCGAACACAAACACAGTAGTCATATACAAACAGGAAAAGCTTGTTATGTAACTTGTAATTTGATTAATACTTGTGTATTTGCCATTATACTTGTATATGTGTCATTATACGTGTGTCTGGCATCACACTTGAGAAAAACACACTGGTCCATCCATCAATGGAAATAAAGGACCCCAATGGAAATAAGTCACTCTGACTTCTTTTGAGTTATCCCAGGTTCTCTACACATATGCTGCTATGTATGATAATCTATGTAACTGTATTTGTGTATACCTGAATAAACTTACTTACCAACTAGCCTTGGTAGATGTGTGTGGGCTGGCTGACATCAGCCAGACATCCTCCCCTGTTCCTTATCCTTCCCAAGTACTGTGTACAACAGCTTCCACTTTTGCATTAGAATTTGCAAATTGGCAGGTACACAACCCAGTCACATTCGGAATCAGTGTTATTTAAGGTTTAAATAATGTGTCACTATTTGTCCACAATGGTTGAATTTGTAGTTGGATATTCTTATGTTATTGGTGGTGTTGGGGTTCATAGGGCCACTGACAGCGTATGCCATATGAGCCCTGATTATTCTTATATTCATGTAAAACACTAATTGTAAGATAAAAGGCATCATTAGGACCATCCTGTGGGACAAAATACAGCATTAGAAGGTAATTGCCGTTGATAAGGTTGGTAGCGCACTCATCTCACACATTAAGGTCCGTGGTTCGATCCCTAGTACGGATGAAAACACTGGGGCGTGTTTCCTTTAAGACACCTGCTGTTTCTGTTCACCTAGCAGTAACTAGGTACTTGGTTATTAGCCGACTGGTGTGGGTGGCATCCTGAAGACAAAATTAACTTAAGTTGCCTGAAATTCTCTGCATAACCAGGGGCTTTCTATATAATACGTCACTTATGTTAGCTATGGTCTGTACGAATTGTATCACGTACTTGTAGAAATAAGTTTTATTGTTATTTTATTATTATTACTTATATGCATGTCTGTATGTTATTATAACTCCCGTAACATCTCTCTGTTGTGACAGGACAATCAGCTGACCCTCAGGGCATCAGATCCCATCAGACGTGGGGAACCCATCACAGCCATTTACACAGATATCCTGTGGGGAACACGGGCGAGGCGGGACCACCTTCGTCAGAGTAAGTTACTCTCGTGTACATGTCAGCGCTGCGCTGACCCCACTGAACTTGACACGTACTTCTCGGCCCTCGTCTGCCGTCGCTGCTCCAAGCTTGTCCTGCCTACTAACCCCCTGGATGACCTGGCTCCGTGGACCTGCCAGGCCTGCTCACACCAGGTCAGTGTGGGGGGACACTGTCAGGCTTGCTACAGTGCTTCTCTATTTTGTAAACTTTTCTGTCAAGTCTCTCACATGGGACCTTACATTTGTCCTCACCTGTTTAAGAATGCCTAGCTGAGGCGACATTATGTGTTCGTGTGTCCCCTGAACAGGTGAGCGTTGAGGAGGTACTACGGACCAACCTGGCACTGGGTGCCGCTGTGGAGATGGCTCTGGCAGGCCCTACCATTGACACGCTGGAGGCGCTGCAGAAGGAGTGGGTGTCGAGAGTCCACAGCAACCACTACCACCTCCATGCCGTCAAGCACTCACTACTACAGCTGTATGGCAGGTCCAAGGAGAAGGCTGCAGAGACGGTGAGAGAAACCTTATTAAACAGACTTGAGTATGCATACTGTGTGGAACTCCCCTACCCTATATAATAGTTACATTACAGTGTGGGAAAAAATGGCTGTATTTCCCTGTCATATTACGTCACACATGATTCTGTTGAGTCTTACTACATTATAAATGTATATTTTGCACACCATGTGTATACACCATTATTGTTATTAATACAGTTGAAACTAAAAATTAAACCACAAAGGTCATAGAGCGCTACAAGTGTATATATAGCAAACCTGTGCATCTCTCACTATACATAGCAAGACTCTCACTATACATAGCAAGACTGTGCATCTCTCACTATACATAGCAAGACTCACTATACATACACTACACGTTTTCTTCAATTCCCATTTCATGGGTTAAAGTATTCTTGATGTTTTTGGTAAAGTGAACTGCAGCAATATAGTTGATAAAATTTAGCAACCTAAGTACAGGTCTAACTCAAAACGTCAGTACCAACGTCAAACGATGTTAGTTTTAATTTTTTTAGGGGTGGACTGGCAAGCTCCGTCGGGGAGGGAGAGGGAAGGTTGTCATATGACTAACACCCGCGTCAGAAGGCAGTTGTCCTGTTTACTGGGGAATCTTACCTAACCTAAAGCAATGTCTAACTCACCTACAGGAGAAGGACGAAGCCCATTGGCTGGAGATCGCCAAGAAGGAGAAAGCCTGCAAGGAATTCCTCACCGTGTGTTCCCGTCTGGACCCATCTACCGCTCAGACCATCCCATACGTCGGACTCACCTTCTACGAGTACCACAAGACCATTCTACAGAACGCCCAGCGCTACTTCGGCCAGAGGAAGATAACAACCCAGCAGCTCAAAAAAAGGATGCTCCTCTCTAAGGCGCTACTCAAGAAAGCAATGGAGATCTTCAGACACGAAGCAGAGGACACCCCAGAGGGTCAATTGTACCTGACCTGTGAGCAGGAGGTCATTAGGATCGGCAAGTGGATGCTGGCTGTGGGATTGGTGTGAGGGAGAAAGACAGAGGAAAGAAAGTCAGAAATTAACTATCACAAAAAGAGGGACAGGAATATAGTAGTGAGAAGAAAAGAATGATGCTGATGTGCTGGAGGGGATGAACTAGATCAGGAAAGGTAGAGAGTTAGGAAGGATTGACTGGAGAGATTAAATATAACTATAGCAAAAACATTGGCTTAAACAACAGATTTGCCAGTTGTACGTCGGTGGAGAGTTACAAGGTGGGACGAAGAGTTGGAGTTCATCCTCTTGAATCTAGAACAGATAATTGTCAATTACATGAACGTAGATGTTCTCCCGAGCACTAAAGTTTAACCAGTCTCTGCGAAGACAAGACAAGTTGCTTCTGTTGGGACAACGTTAAATCTGTGAAGAGCTTTATCATTACTTGATAAGGTCTACAGAGAGCGAAACGTTGTCCCAGATAAAAGCCTGTTCCACAACGAATCTTATCTTGACTACTGTCTCCTGTTCCGTCTCTTATGAAAAGCCTAATAATGGTAATAAACTGCAATTAATGTGGCATCTCCTGCCTGTGTAGGAAATGTCCAGAGTAACAAGTGAAGTTAATAAAGATTAAAAGGCATTTTTCAAATAAAAAAATAAAAAAACAATTATGTGATGATTTTTCTTTTTTTTTTTTTAATTATAGGGCGGTTGCTGTTGTTGTAGTTATTATTGTTGGTGATGGAGTTTAAGGGCTGCGAGATGGTGAGCCGCATTGATCGCTGCTTCCAGCAGTCCGGTATGAAGACCTGTCCTTGGATCGAATCTGACTGCTCTCCCTTCTCCGGGTTATGCGACCCATGTGGGTTTAGCGCTCTCCTCACGAATGTAACAGTGATGGTGTCTAGATGGCGTGCCCACGAGGACAAAGAGACAGGTCTCGCTCTGTGTGCAGCTTGGTCAATGATTCAGTGAAGATCCACGCAGGGACGGTCGACGTTCCATTAAGAGAATCTGCACCGTGTCTGTGATCTGCAGATTTCTCGGTGATGCGCTATTTCATTCACCGTCTGCCCATCCTGGACGTGGGCAGAAGAGTCTGCCCACCCTGGACGTGGGCAGGAGAGTCTGCCCACCCTGCATGCTGGCAGAAGAGTCTGCCTACCCTGGACCTGGGCAGGAGGGTCTGCCCACCCTGGACGTAGGTAGGAGAGTCTGTCCACCCTGGACGTGGGCAGGAGAGTCTGCCCACCATGCACTTGGACATGAGAGTTTGCCCACCAAGCACATGGGCAGGAATGTCTGCCCACCCTGGACGTGGGCAGAAGAATCTTCCTACCCTGGACGTGGGCAAGTGAATCTGCCCACCCTGGGCGTGGGCAGGAGAGTCTTCCTACCCTGGATGTGGGCCAGAGAGCCTGCCCACCCTGGAAGTGGGCAGGAGAGTCTGCCCACCCTGGACGTGGGCAGAAGAGTCTGCCCACCCTGGACGTGGACAGGAGAGTCTGTCCACCCTGGACGTGGACGGGAGAGTCTGCCCACCCTGGACGTGGGCAGGAGAGTCTTCCCACCCTGGACTTGGGCATGAGAGTCTGTCCACCCTGGACTTGGGCATGAGAGTCTGCCCACGCTGGACGTGGGCAGGAGATTCTGTCCACCCTGGACGTGGGTAGGAGAGTCTGCCCACTCTGGACGTGGGCAGGAGAGTCTGCCCACCCTGGGAGTGGGCAGGAGAGTCTGCCCACTCTGGACGTGGGCAGGAGAGTCTTCCCACCCTGAACGTGGGCAGGAGAGTCTGCCCACCCTGGACGTGGGCAGGAGAGTCTGCCCACTCTGGACGTGGGCAGGAGAGTCTGCCCACCCTGGACGTGGGCAGGAGAGTCTGCCCACCCTGGACGTGGGCAGGAGAGTCTGCCCACCCTGGACGTGGGCAGAGAGGTCTGCCCACCCTGGACGTGGGCAGGAGAGTCTGCCCACCCTGGACGTGGGTAGGAGAGTCTGCCCACCCTGAACGTGGGCATGAGAGTCTGCCCACCCTGGACGTGGGCAGGAGAGTCTGCCCACCCTGGACGTGGGCAGAAGAGTCTGCCCACCCTGGACGTGGGCAGGAGAGTCTGCCCACCCTGGACGTGGGCAGGAGAGTCTGCCCACTCTGGACGTGGGCAGGAGAGTCTGCCCACCCTGGACGTGGGCAGTAGAGTCTGCCCACCCTGGATGTGGGCAGGAGAGTCTGCCCACCCTGGACGTGGGCAGGAGAGTCTGCCCACCCTGGACGTGGGTAGGAGAGTCTGCCCACCCTGAACGTGGGCATGAGAGTCTGCCCACCCTGGACGTGGGCAGGAGAGTCTGCCCACCCTGGACGTGGGCAGGAGAGTCTGCCCACCCTGGACGTGGGCAGGAGAGTCTGCCCACCCTGGAGGCGGAGTCTCCCACCCTGGACGTGGGCAGGAGAGTCTGCCCACCCTGGACATGGGCAGGAGAGTCTTCCCACCCTGGACTTGGGCATGAGAGTCTGCCCACCCTGGACGTGGGTAGGAGAGTCTGCCCACCCTGGACGTGGGCAGAAGAGTCTGCCCACCCTGGACGTGGGCAGGAGAGTTTGCCCACCCTGGACTTAGAACAGTAAATATTGACTTTATTATATAGAGAACTGAAAAATCACAGCTGAGAGAATGAGTTACTCAGGTCTCCTTAGTGTAGTTCCATTACAGTGGATCAAGAGCCTTGCACTGACAAGAATGGACCTATACTCCCTTCCCCTTCCCTTCAAGGATTGACAGTCAACCCGAGGCGGTCAACTCATCACAGCGGTTATGTGGTTTTGTTTGTCAGGAAAGCTGGGAAAGCGTGTAATGATGAGTCTGTCTCAGTCAAGCAGCTCAGTCTATACTAAGAAAACTCTGTCTTAAAAAAGTCAAAATACAGCTTGATTTATTGTTTTTATTATGCGCGTTACATCAAACCATACGAGTGTAAAATGCTGCTTCGTAATACACCAGGTGGGCGGTGTATGATAGACTTTACGGTGTTGCTCACAGGTCACACATCTTGTCAATATTCTAAACCATTCTAAACACTACAGCCATGTCACAAGCAAAAATTTCATTAAAATAAGAACATTGAATGACAACATGTATAGTTAGAACAAAGTCGAACACTGTTATTATTAAGCAAACAAGACCTCTGCAACACAGGTCGAGGGTAGAGATATTAATGTCATTGACAGGACGAGTGGTCTTGGCCTCTGACCAAGTTATTTGTGGCTCTAGTCTGTGTATACCGCCACATGATCACTCATTATTGGTCATGCAGAAGCGCTAAACCCGTACAGGTCACAAAACTCCTGAGCAATGGGAGGCAATTATCATATTTGTAGGGTATTAATTGTCCATTTCAACCCACCAATAAGGTGAGAGCTGTCTCTTCAGCCAAGGTGATGTCACACCTACCTGTCTGGGCCCTGGCTGTCAGATAATTTAGTATTTTAAACCAACCAGTGAGGCGGTAGTCAATGGTTCCAGAAGCACATAATGGGTCCAGGGAGTGTGCCGCAAAGTTTTGATAGCTGACCAAGTTACAGTGACAATGAGCTTTTACATGTTTATATCTGGTCCCAGTCGTAATTAGTTATTTATGCAGACATTAATTATGACACACACGCAAAAAAAAAAATTATAATGCTTAATTTACAGCAAGGCTGTGAGGCAGACTCTAGCTTACACTGGTCCAGTCCACTCCTGCTATGAATGTCTCTGCTCTGTCTTATCTGTATACTGCTATCTTAACTGTATAAATATTGTACATAGTAGTGAAGGAATATACGGGTATAGAAAAACTAACCCCTCTGTGTTTGCCTTGCCCTTTCATTGCCAGGTTGTTCGCTGACTTTGTCTACGACCAAGTGTGACAGACCTTGAGTTGCTACCTCTGTTCATAATACCCTGTATGACCCCCGCGGGTTTCTGGTGAGTTATACTGGAGTACCATAGACGGATGTATTTATGTAGTATGTTTTGAATTATCTTCGAAAGTCCAGTGTTATTGTGACGCTAAAATGTAAGTCAAGTACAGTAATGGGAACCATAGATGGTAGACCTCCGAATTTTTTTTGGTTATCCTATGCAATTCAAACATATGTTACTATGTATGATAACTTTACTTATGTGGAAATGTACCAGAATAAACTTACCAGACCTCAAATCAGTGTGAAACACTGACCTAGACCTGAACCCAGAGCAAAACATAGAGCGGAACAGTGTACAATGATTTGTTCATCACCAGTAAGTTGCTCTTATAGACACTACGCTATATATCGCGTAATGTCTTCTTGTTGACTACGGAAGCCGATTAACCAAGACCATTTGACTTTTGTTTATTCTGCAGTGATGGTGATACCTTTGATAATGGTGCCAACATCAGTGCCAACGAGCAATGCCAATAAGCTTGACAAATCAATGCTTATTGCTCAACACACTGAGGAGTCTAATTGTTGTTCTTATTGTCTTACGCTCTTATGTTATGTACTGGGTACATAGGGATGTTTTATATATGTAGACTGTGTACTCGCATTGTTAAAACGTGTCCATCTTGTATTGTTTTGTAAATGTGTATCACCTTGTTATATGACGAGCGTACTCAGTGTATATATATACACATGGAGGTGCTCATCTTAGTGTTTATACACAGAGAAGTATAGATCTTACTGATTATAGACTAACAGGTGTAAGTCTGTTCAGGTACAGGTACACATAAATAGTTACATAAATTATCATATAACCCCCCCAAAAAAGTCAGATAAAGTGACTTATTTCCAGTGAGGATCTTTAGATGTCTAACTTAGTGTATATATTACCTATATCACCGATTCTTTTTTCCATGGTTTTGTGTAAATGATCATTGCGGTGAGTTCTCCAACCTTCGAGAATGGTAGTGAGGCTGGTGGCTGGCAGGTCATAGTAAATAGTGGAGTGCGTGCGCAGGACATGAGCAGCCGCCATCACCTTCAGCCTCACAACTATTTTGGTCGTGGCAGTGTACATGTGCTGTGTGTTCCCTCATGCTGCTCTCTCACTGTTTACACTTGGGTGAACACTTGAGTCAGTACCAGTAAGGTGAGTGATTGTTTAGTCCTCACCTGGTATATTGCACGCGGAAATGGGGACAGTTTGCGAGAGGGAAGGTAACTGTTAAGCTGAAAAATTCTTTGGTATTTCTTATGTCTTCACTGCTCAAACATGAGTACTTTAAGTATGTTAAACTGCTCTACTTGGCACCATAACTATTGTTGATATAAATATTATTTTATATGATTCTTAATTTTTACTTGATTTAGAGAAGAGAAACTGTTATTCTCCTTATGTTATTATATACTTTTAAATGGAAAAAGCCATAAGGTATATGCACTGAGTTTTATATTGTTCCACACTGTATGACCCTAGTGGGTTTAGCGCTTGGTTTTGATTGTAATAAGACATACTGTAGATATAATTTCTGATGTGCTCCTGTTTAACCCGTTTGAGGCCTAATTCCTAGACCTTTTGTGTATCCATATGCTTTTCCACTACCGTCTACACTAAAATATAGTTTTTGTTCCTGGTGAGGGGCTCGTGATCCAAGGAATTGGACCTGACCTTCCATTCTCTGGATTGAACCTGATTGCTTCTCATTCTCCCAGCAGCTGTATAACTATACGGGTTTAGCGTACCCTCAGGAATATAATCATATTGGCGATAAGTTTTATTTAGGAAAATCTGCATATATACTTCTTTTTACAAACGGCAATATAAATTTGTGACACTTCCACTAGGTCACTTTATTTTATTTCAGGGTAAGATAAGATAAATCATGTTTTCTGGTGCCAGCCTCTTATATTGGAGCATTTATTACGACCCTTTAAAACCTGTATCGAAATTTATTTGAAAACTGTGAGAGCAGAGATGTTAACTTGTTAGAGGTGGATGTTGGACCAGTACACGTAGATGACAAGTACAACACGGGATCTCAATAATGCTGCACACATGTCAAGACAAAACATTATAAAACAAACGTTTGTCAGCGCAACGTTTTGACCTATCAGGTCATGACCACCTGTGATGCAGACTTTGAATAACCTATTGCACCCTGACCTCCACTAACCCCATCCCTCACACATCATGCCCTGTACGGCTGTGACTCCTTCAGGTTTAGCGCTTAAATTGATTACCATCAGGTAATGACCACCTGTGATGCAGACTTTGAATAACCTATTGCACCAAGTTCGCTTTCAATTTTATTCTTGCATTCTTCCCTGACCTCCACTAACCCCATCCCTCACACATCCTACGTGTATGTTACCATTTGGAGAAGTACAATTACCATGGTGAGTCATCATGGAAATTTGTAATTAATGTGACGTAACCATGGAGATGTATAGTTGTCATGGTAACGTGATTTACCATACCTACCAAGATGTTTTGGGGGTCAACGCCCCCGCGACCTGGTCCATGGTCGGGCCTCGCGGTGAATCAGGGCCTGATCAACCAGGCTGTTACTGCTGGCCACACTAGTCCCGGCTGGTCAGGTATTGACCAGGAATTACCCAGCTCCCTCTCGACATCTAGGGATCTACTGATAAACTGCCTTATATATGATGGGAGGCTGTTGATGTCTTGGGGCCCCTGACATTTATTGTATTGTCTTTTAGTGTACTATGGCGCCTCTGCTGTTCATTAGGGGGATGTTGCACCTTTTGCCGAGTCTTTTTACTTTCGAAGGGAGTGATTTGTATTTGCAGATTTGGGACTATTTCTTCTAGGATTTTCCAGATGTAAATTTTGATGCATCTTTCTCTCCTGCGTTCCAAGGAGTACAGATCAAGGAGCCATTATCCTTGTGATTCAAAGTACTGTAGTGAATGCTCGATAATTGTATTTCCATGGTGTATTGATGCAAGGTGTTATATTTAGTGATCACCACCACCTCTTACTACTGCTACTACAACTACAAAAACGTCTACAACAACTACTAGAACAATTAGTACTACAATTACAACCACTACGATAATTACTAATATTCCTCTACGACAACTAAGACTACTACATCTATTATTATTATAATCAAAACTAAGCGCTAAACCCACAGAGGTCACCTACTATAGCTAAAGCTACTACTAAAACTGTTGTATATATGTCTTTGTTTGCAGGATGCCAGAGGTGCAGGGAGGCGTGTGTGAGGTGTGCAACAAACCAGCCAAGCAGTTCTGTTCTTCATGTCGTTCAGTGTTCTACTGTTCTAGAGAGTGTCAGAAACAGGACTGGAAAGACCATAAAGGCAAATGCAAGCCATACATCGTTCAAAACCATCCAATTTATGGAAGGTTTGTGTAATGGAAGGTCTTGTCATTATCATCTTATGTTGAATTGATGACAGCGTTTTAAATGATCTTTGCAAATAAATTACGTATCATATTAGAACTTTAACATAACTCAAGTTTGAGATAACTTAAGAATTTCAGCTTTCATACAAGATTTTCTTAATTGTGTTTTTCCTCCCTTTTATGCTTCCATCAGTATAATGGGAAGGTTTCCACTTTAGACATTTGCAATACTGCCAGCAGTGCTATATGACCCTGGTGGGTTTAGTGCTTAGTTTTGATAATTATATTATGCTATACAGCCAGTTACCATCTTCATCCACTGTTTTGCATTATCTCTATAGTGGGATTATACTCTTATTATAATCATACTAAATGCTAAGCTCATTATGTTCATAGGAAGGTGCTAAACTCACAAAGGTCAGCACCTGGGAGGGAAATGGGAGGCAGTCAGGTTTTATTTGAGGTAGAAAGTAGTTCGAATTCTAGCGTCAAGGTGCAGTACCTCCTGTGAAGGTCCTTTTCAGTGAAAAAAGCCAGCTTATTCTGGCAGGTCACAATTCAACCTTCCATTTTGTTGTTGAACTTCATTACATTGTATTCATTGGGAAGTGCTAAACCTATAGGGCCATACACCACCTGGGGAATAGATGGTATGCTTTATAGACTTGTTCATTAAAATGTTTAACCAATAAATCTACTTATAAACATTTGTGGTGCAGGCACATGGTAGCGAGCCGTGACATTCGTCCTGGTGAGGTGATCCTGAAGGAGGAAGTCCTGGTGGTGGGTCCCAAGCAACGCTCTCCACCAGTGTGTCTGGGATGCCACAAGGCCATCACTGGCACCTACACTTGTTCCAGGTGCCACTACCCTCTGTGTGCACCATCTTGTGAAGTCTCAAAATATCACAAGGTGATTACCATTATTGCTGTTTTATTTTCACAAAATAACATTAATTATATTTGGAAGAACAGAGCTTGTGTAGATAATACAGCACCTAGAGAATGGGAGTAAATGAGACACAGTCTAAGGAAGGGCAGAATAGCTCAGTAACCTGACAAGAGCCCTTGTCAGCATATAAGGCAACCTCCTTGAAAAGCCAGCCTCTTTAGTCTCTCTCAGCATTGCTTTTCTGCTTTCTTTGTACACTATAAAACTGATAAGAGCTTCCTCTACTGCCAGCATGAGTGTCCTATACTGGCTGGGTCTGGAGTGAAGATCAAGATAGACAATGTTGAGTCTGCCCACCCAGCCTATGAATGTATTACACCTCTACGATGTCTTCTACTCAAGCAAACTGATCCCAAGAAGTGGCAGACCATCAACCAACTACAAGATCATGTCCACAATATTAAGAACACTGAGATGGGTTCTGTTATTCAAAGAAACACTGTTGATTTCCTTCAGTAAGTTTTCTGTTTTTTTTTGTGTGTGTACAATATACTGTACTTAAATTTACAAGATTATACATACAGATTACCGTATTGTACTTTATAGTCATTGCAGTCAAATGAGCAAAATTTTTAATTAGGCAACAAAAATAACAGCTACCTAATTGATCCTTGTTCATATATATTATAATTGAGCTTAATTCTATTAGAGTATCAGGTTATTAGCAGTTTGGAGGGATATGTTGTGTATCTTTATATGTATATGCTTCTAAACTTGTGTTCTGAGCACCTCTGCAAAAACAGTGATTATGTGTGAGTGAGGTGAAAGTGTTGAATGATGATGACAGTATTTTCTTTTTGGGAATTTCCTTTTTTTTTGGGGGTCACCCTGCCTCGGTGGGAGACGGCCGACTTGTTAAAAAAAAAATAAAAAAAATAAAATTAAGCGCTAAATCTGAGAGGGTCATACAGTGCTGCATGGAAGGATGTGGAAAGGTAATGAGGGAGTGAAGTGCAGGAGTGTGTGATGGTAGGAGGATTAGGGGAGAGTGCAGGAGGAAAAGTAAATTCACAAATGGTGCAGTAAGTTAGTTTCAATTAAAAGTCAGTAGTACATTAAATTCTTGTTCCATTAAGTGTCATACTTGTATGACTTGATAATTAAGATTTCAGTAAATTATATTTTCATGCAGGAGTTCAGTAAGTAAAGGAATTTCATTCTGTATATCAGTTGTGGAAATATTGACTACGTTTCGCCCACACAGTGGGCTTTTTCAAGTCACAAACAGAACTACCTGGGGTGGAAGGAAGGCAAGTATTTATAGTCCGGTTCAGAATGCTGAGGTCAGGTGAAGAATGCTGCATCTGATGATGTACCGAGTGGGGTTATAGAGTCTAAAAACTTGGGTAGCTTGGAAAGGAGATTGGATAAGTTTGTGAGCAGACCTTCTACAGTGTTCTTATGTGGGACAGTGATGAAGAAGTTTCTTGGCAAGTGGTTCAGCTATGTTATAGAAGCCACTATTCTGGTTGAAGTTGTCGGATATAGAAATAAGTGATGATTCCAGGATTCTTCGGTATTGAGTGTTGTCTTCTGTGGCGATAAGTCTTGAGTTTCTGTAGTTTATCAAGTGGTTGTGTGAATTACGGTGTTGTATGCAGGCATTCCTTGTGTCGTCAGACCTGCTTGCGTATTGGTGTTCTGAAACACGTGTTTGGAGGTCCCTTGATGTTTCGCCCACGTATAACTTGTTGCAGTCATTACAAGGGATTATGTATACCCCTGCAGAGGATGGAGGCTTGTCCTGTCTACTACTGGTGATGTCCTTGATGGTCGTGGTTGTGGAGGTAGATACTTGGAATGATGTTTTGGCAAAGATGTTGGAAACATGTTTGGCAATGGAGTTGGTGGGAAGGACTATGTATCAACACGCAGCTCCCCAGTCATACCTCGACGTTACATCAATGCACTCAAAGGTTTAGCAGAAGACACGACCATCAGGGTCACCACCGCTGATAAAGGGGGTGGTGTTGTTATCATGAACACTGACGATTACAGGAACAAAATGCTCAATCTACTTAATGACCCAGATACCTACAAACCTCTCACAACTAACCAAGTGGACAACCTTACTAAAACTTTTCTTCAAAGGACTCGCCGCATTCTGAGGGGCTCAGAACAAGGGAAGAAACTTCTGCACACCATGCCAGCAACCCCAACCTGCCAGAATGTACGCCTGCCAAAGACTCGCAAGCCTGGTATCCCACTGAGGCCCATATCCTCGGGAATAGGCAGTGCTCCCCACCAGCTCTCAGGAATTCTCGCCAAACACCTCTCTAAACTCTTGGGCACTATCAGTCCAGCACATCTCAAACACTCAGGTGATCTTCTCAATCGCATTCGCAACATCAACATCAGGAACAAGAACTTTCCAGCCTTGACGTGACTTCCTATTCACCAAAGTACCTACTACACAAGCCATCAATCTCTTGCGCAGGAAAATTGATGATTCACTTGATCTTCCCATTCCAGCCAGCGATTTCATCGACCTTGTTGAACTATGTGTTGGCTTTACGTGTTTCTCTTTCGAAAATCACCTCTTTCAGCAGACTTTTGGACTACCCATGGGTTCGCCACTCAGTGCAGTCCTGGCGAACCTATACATGGAACATCTAGAAGCCGAACGTTTCTCCACCATTATTCCTTCGTCTGTCACCTGGCTCCGTTATGTTGACGACATTCTCCTCATAACTCCTAAACGCTTCAACGTTCAAGCTCTCCAAGACAAGCTCAACCAGGTCGAGCCTTCAATCCAGTTCACACTTGAAGAAGTCGTCGACAACACTCTTCCTTTCCTTGATGTCCTGCTCTGCAAAGCTGACCACGAACTTCGTTTTAAAGTCTATCGAAACCCACCAACCAAACGATCTTCTCCACTTCTACTCTCACCACGACACCAAACCAAACGTGGTGTAATTATAGGCTTCTTCCTGCGTGCACTCAGAATCTGCAGCAACGAGTTCCTTGACGAAGAATGCACTATAATTGAACAAATATTTCTAAACTCCACTATCCTCGTCACTTCATCAGAGACTGCAGACGGCGGGCATTAAACATCTTCAACACACCCAGAGAAGACACTGCCAAGAAGAGATACATAGTCCTTCCCACCAACTCCATTGCCAAACATGTTTCCAACATCTTTGCCAAAACATCATTCCAAGTATCTACCTCCACAACCACGACCATCAAGACATCACCAGTAGTAGACAGGACAAGCCTCCATCCTCTGCAGGGTATACATAATCCCTTGTAATGACTGCAACAAGTTATACGTGGGCGAAACATCAAGGGACCTCCAAACACGTGTTTCAGAACACCAATACGCAAGCAGGTCTGACGACACAAGGAATGCCTGCGTACAACACCGTAATTCACACAACCACTTGATAAACACAGAAACTCAAGACTTATCGCCACAGAAGACAACACTCGATACGAAGAATCCTGGAATTATCACTTATTTCTATATCCGACAACTTCAACCAGAATAGTGGCTTCTATAACATAGCTGAACCACTTGCCAAGAAACTTCTTCATCGCTATCCCACATAAGAACACTGTAGAAGGTCTGCTCACAAACTTATCCAATCTCCTTTCCAAGCTACCCAAGTTTTTAGACTCTATAACCCCACTCGGTACATCATCAGATGCAGCATTCTTCACCTGACCTCAGCATTCTGAACCGGACTATAAATACTCGCGTTCCTTCCACCCCAGGTAGTTCTGTTTGTGACTTGAAAAAGCCCACTGTGTGGGCGAAACATAGTCAATAAAGGATCACATTATACTGCATTTGTGTTTATATTTCCATTGTGTCGGTATTTTATACCATTTATTTCCATATCAGTTGTAAGCTTCAAAATTTGTAATATGAAGGGATTCAGGGAAACCGGTTAGCTGGACTTGAGACCTGGAGGTGGGAAGTACAGTGCTTGCACTCTGAAGGACAGATTTTGAACTGTGCTGTAGACACGCCTTTGGTAAGACAGTGGAGCGAATGATGATGAAAATGTTTCTTCTTTTTCGGGTCACCCTGCCTCGGTGGGAAACAGCCAACATGTTAAAAAATAGTATAAAAATTTTCAAAATTTCATCACCTTAGTAGATTATCATTATTATATTCATGGGAGGAGTACTAAACCCATAGATGTCTGGGAAAAGGGAATGTATTAAGGTTCTTCTCAAAGAAATGGAGCACAGGTCCAATGCCATCACCTTGATAGAGATTTATTGGATACATTATATGTCAAATTCGTAGCCCCCACAAATGGAATGAAGAGCATTTTCCTATTGTAATTCATGCCAGCTTTACGTTTCAGATTTTATACCATGTGTAAATATCCTAAAAAGTGAACATTTATTTATTCACAGAAACTATATAAAATACAATGGTGCAGACAGTAAAGAAATATACCGAATGTGCGGCATCTTACTTATCAATAGTTTTGAGTTAAAACATAACGGTCAGCGAGTACGTGGGATATACCCACAAGCTGCCATGATGGCACATGACTGCATTCCCAACACCAAACATGCTTTCGACGAGGACCTGGCACTAATATTACGAGCAACTGTCGTCATTCGAAAGGGTAACCCTATAACCAGCACCTATACCAACATACTCTGGAATACACTACAACGCCGCAAACAGCTACAGGTATGAAAGACACATTTCTTAGCAGTAAGACTATAATTATGAAGAACACATTTCTTAGCAGTAAGATTATAAATTTTACTAACTGAATATAATCTGAGAACTCTTGCTAGGTAACAAAAGTTATAGTACTGCTTTATTCATGGGTAAGCACCAAACTTGTAAGGGTCATGCAACACCTGGAAAATAGGAGGTAATCTGGTTTGAACTAAGGGGAAGGTAGTACTAATTCTTGGATCAAAAATTTTTTTAACACCAAAGAAACCTCCCCTTGGGGGAAGGGAGTGGGTAGAGCCTATACAATTAATACACAAAAAATTATAGGTTGTCAAAATCATAAAAAAGGAGCTAAACCTGTCATTCAGTTCAAAAAACAAATATTAAATTTTGTTTTCCATGTATTTATATTCTTGTCTGTTTTTTCTAGTTTGCGAAGTATTTCCTGTGTACATGTCGGCGATGTTCTGATCCCACTGAGCTTGGAACGTACCTGGGCACCCTCTTATGTAGCGAGTGTGGTGGACGTGTTCAGTCTACCACACCTCTGGACATGGATGCCAGATGGGCATGCCAGAAGTGCCCCAACACTATTTTAGGCAAAACAGTTTGTACCTTTTTCTTTTACTTTGCTTGTGTATTACATTTGTAAGAGTAATGTGTACTGATTTACTACTGAATATGTCAAGCTTGCTTATTCCTTAACATTTTTGAAATACTGTAACACAGCTCATTAAAACTAAACCAGCTCAAACTTTTAACTTCAAATTTTTATATAGGTTATCTACTGTATATAATTTGGGCAAAGTAAGAGTATTACTGTAGTACATCTTAGGATTACAGTAGACAGTCACCTTTTGCAACAGTTAGGTTCCAGGAAAAGAGCTACTTAGAAATGTGACAGGTGGACTGAACAGCTTATGGGAAAAAATGGGTTATGTGCCATGACAGCTCGAAAAAACCATGTGATGATGTTTTGGTCTAACTTGGACCATTAACTAGCCACACAGAAGGGAGGGTGCGGATGAGAGGAGATATTTGTAGTATTAAAGACGTAATAATAGTAGAAAAAGTAGTGCAACAGTGGTAAGAGTAGTAATAGTGGTAGTGAAAAAAAGGGTTCAGAGGATGGAGACTTAGAAAAGAGATAGTAGTAGTAGTAGTAAAAATAAGTAGCCTAAGAACAAGAGAAAAAAGGAGTACTGCACGAGAGCTAATGGCCCATGAAAGTAGGATCAAATCCCAGTGGGAGAAAACCCCACAGGACAAAACCCATCTAGGCAGAAGATGGGAAAGGCAAAGAAAATACAGTACCATAGGTAAGGAGAGGAGATAAAGATCAAGTAAAGTTACAAATGTTCTAAGGTTTGGAGCATTTGACGATGTAATGAGAAAATAAGGCATCTACAGATACCGTTAAGTCCATTGTAAAAAAAAAAAAAAAAGTTAAACGACTTAAGTTTGGAGGAAAGTAATTGACAGTTAGTGTGTATTCTTTCCATAGAGAATAGGCTGGCAGTTCTCCCAGAGAAAGTGAGGTGGCCATAGGAGACCCAAACAATTGAGATGAGGTTAAAAATATTGGCAATTAGCATATTTGAAGGCACAAAAAATTGTGTACTATTATGTGAATCACTTAAAAAATTAAATCTGTGGTTCTTAACCAATCTTCCTAGTAAATGTGAGGTCTCATTACATACATAAAATAAGCATACACAGTATTACTGCATTTGGTAAACACTAAGAGGAAAAAGTTCACCACCATAATAGGTGGTGAACCTTCAGAACGAAAGGTGAAAATATACTATACAAAAAATGAATTGTCAACAGGCAAAAACAGTAGGTGGAATTGTGAAAAAGTGGTTTACTGTACTGTATTACTAAAGCCACCAATTTTGTCATGCATGTTATTTTAAATTCATATCATTATGTAATCAAAAAATTAAATGTCAGTACAACAGTTATAAGATTGCTAAATACTACTTTCATTATCTATACATACCATATCAATGGTTTTATTAATAGTTGAAGGCCAGTACAGTGCTAACTTAATATAAGTTAGTGTAAACTTGTTGTCTGGCATTTACATGCATTTGTAAGTGGAAAACACGGTGTTCCACTTTTTCGGCGTTGGCCGCTTTTAGGCGGTAGCCTGGAACCTAACCTGCCATGTAAGTAGGGGCCCTACTGTATATACTGGCATGTACTTTAATAAGTTGGACTTTACTCATTCATTGCAACCCACTAGGTGTTCTGGGGTGATCAAATACTATATAAAGAGCTCCGTGGACTAGAACAAAACACAGCCCGACAGCTAGAGGAATTTTTAGAGTGCTACAAGAAAGCTTTACATCCCAAACATCGCTTTTTTATGGAGGCTAAGTATGCCCTCATCAAGTTCTATGGCAACCACAAAGAATGCAGATATAGAGGTAAATAATTTTCATACTGTTTACTCATGGGAGTGCTCTAAAACTATAGTGATCGTATAGCATCTTGGGAAACGAGAGGCAGTCTGGTTTGATCCAAGGAAAGGGAGGATAGGTCCAACTCCTTGTATCAAGGCACCTCTGTTAGAGGGGGAACCATTGGTTGTAGTAGTGTGAGATTATCTATTTGTAGGTGTGCATGCCCACATCTAGTTGATTCAGTTGCTTTTTCTCTTGGTCAAGGGCTCTTGATTCAAGGAACTAGGAGCTGCTATGCCCTTCCTTGAATCAAACTCTACTACCTTCTTTTTCCAGGTGTTGCATTACTTTTCAAAGTTCACCACTTCCTATTGAATGTAATTTTTATTACTGTATTTTTAAAAATAAGCGCTAGACCTTTATATATAATACCTTGTAGTATTTACATTACCTTGGTATGACTAAGTTTTTGTTTACTTCTTAGTGGTTTACATGGAGATACTTCATGATGTACTATTTTCATTTGCAAATTTACTTAAAAAAAAAAAAAAAAAAAAAAATCTAGGTGATTATTGAAAAGCATAATCATCTCCAATGCTTTCCAGTCATTCACCCATCCTTTTGTAAAGAAATATTTTTTACCTGTCTTTTGCAATTTATCAACATTAGTGTCCTGCAACTGACTTTGTAGGAAGTGTTGAGATGTTTGTTCATCTTCACAAATCTCTTGATGTACTGCAAAGCCTAGTAGTTAATACATTTTTCCCCCCCTTCCCTTTTTTGTGCAAGTGCATAATTTTCGATATACTATTCAGTTGATACACGTAAAAAAACAAAAAACTTCCGTACTTTCAGGAACTTGTTAATAAATAAAAACTTTACCATAGTGAGGAAACACTAAGCCTGAAGGGGGTTATACAACATCTTGGAGAAAGGGGTTGAGGGTAATCTGATGATTATAATAAATCATAACCCAGTGCTAAACCCATAAGGGTCATACAGTGCTGATCTGAACATTTGGGTAGCTCAAAATTCTTGTATGAAGAGCCTTTCACTAGCATTAAGGCAACTTCCTTGAATATAATAACTTTAATACCCAGAGTAAGATTTGGCCAGTTTGTTGCTCTGGATTCTTAATTTAGCATTTCAGTGCATGTTTGTGGCTATTATAATTAAATTAATATTATGTAAATATTTTATTTACAGAAGTGATAGTTATGTCATTTATATTTTGCCCTCAGCAATGTACAGTGGACAGTTTAAATCCACCTTTAGCCATAAAAAAATACAAACTGACTTTGCTCTTAAATTTACAGATATGACAAGAGAACAATTGGAACGAAAAGTGGAGTACTGCCGAGAACTGTTGGAGCTGGCTAATACTATAGACCCAGGCTTGAGTCTGTTCCGGGGCACACTCTTGTTTGAGCTTCAAGCTGCCCTTGTGGCACAGGCTAGGTTACTCCTGTCTAATGATATCATCACTAAGGAGGCCACGCAGGTAAGACAAATGCCCATCACTTTGTAAATATACAGTACTGGTGGTGTCTTTACCCTAAGTATACTATAAATTAAGACATTTACCTTATGTGATCTTGTGTAAGTTATTACTGTTGTACACTCATGGGGAAGCACTAAATAGTCCTAAAGGAGATGGGACTCAAGCAGATTTGATTCTAGGAAAGTGATGGTAGCTTGAATTTTTTGAAGGCATCAAATTATTAATACATTCATGGGGGAGTGCCAAACCCATAGGGGTCTGAAGGTATCAATGATTTACATGTTAATCACAAAATTTACTGTAGATAGAATACTCTTTTCTTGCAGGACTACATGACAGAAGCTGTAAAGTATCTGAAGGAGGCCTCTGAGATCCTCAAGCATGAGCCAGACATGGAGAAGGGCGGCCTAGATGCAAAACTCAAGCTGTTATCAGAAGAACTTGATATATAAAACTGGCAGGCATACCCACATAAAAAATTATTCTCAACATATGAAAAGTAATTTAATGAATAGGAAGCTAATAAACTGAGTTTTTTCCTTAGGTGAAAGACCTTTGGCTTGCAAGGGTATCAATAAGGCCACAAAGTAAACTTGGTGTACATAAACTGCAAGACATCTTTGTGTATAAATTGTTGCTGGTAAAGGTAAATCATTCAGAATTTTGATGGTAGTCGGGTCAGGTTTGTGTGTTCCTCGTCAACAAATTTTTGGAATGCATTAATGAATGTCTTATTTTTATAACATGTTATAATTCAAAATTCATGAACTGTTATTTCTTGAATTTATTGTAATTAAATTTTTCTTCTACAATACAGTATTAAAAACATGATTATTTAAACGATTCACTGTTTTCTTTTTTTTTTGTAGAAATGACATAAATGGTAATGTATGATTCTAAATATAATTCTACATAATTCTAATGTAACTCCTTTTTTCATATAAAGTTTCATATAAAATAGATTTTACTGTTGAGATTATTTTAACTTATAGAGCACATAATACCTTTTATTGGATGGAGTGATAAATAACTTTACAGGTCTTCGTAAATTTTTTTTATTCCCAGTGACCATTTTTCCTCTCATAAGATGTACCAGTGTTGTGGAGAGGAAATGCTCTCGCCTATTTAATTATTATTATTATTATAATAAAAAAGAAGCGCTAAGCCACAAGGGCTATACAGCGCTGCAGGGTAGGGAAGGAAGCGAGGGTATTGGGTGGCAGAAGGGAGGAGGGATGATCAGTAGGTTACAGAAAACAGCGGGGCAGGGGATAGTACGGGGGTAGAGGGTAGCAAGAGATTGAAGTAGAAAGGGCTGAAGGTATCAGAATTTGTGAAGTAAGTCAGTTGTTGTCAAAAAGTCGATGAGAGCGGATGAAAGGTGGGTCCATCAGCGAGAAGGGAAGGTAAAGAGAGAGCAGCGGAGGTAAATTCTGCGTGCTCGTTGATAAAGTGGGCAGTCCAACAGAATGTGGCTGGCTGATAATGGAGCTTGGCAATTCTCACAGAGAGGAGCAGGGCGCCTCTCCATGAGATATCCATGAGTAAGACGAGTATGGCCAATGCGAAGATGGGAGAGAGTAATCTCCCAACCTGGTGATAAGAAGACGGCCAGTAACCTATACTCGGTTTAATAGATTTAAGTTTGTTGCCGAGCATAGTTATTATTTATTTTTTTATTATCACACCGGCCGATTCCCACCAAGGCAGGGTGGCCCGAAAAAGAAAAACTTTCACCATCATTCACTCCATCACTGTCTTGCCAGAAGGGTGCTTTACACTACAGTTTTTAAACTGCAACATTAACACCCCTCCTTCAGCATAGTATTATTATTATAATCAAAAAGAAGCGCTAAGCCACAAGGGCTATACAGCGCCGAGCATAGTAGACCAATGTTGTTGCCAACGGGTGTGAAGGTGAAGATTGAGACACTTATGCAGCATATGGGAATCTTTATTCAGGAAACGTTTCGCCACACAGTGGCTTCATCAGTCCAATACAAAGAGGAAGGCGTAAGGAGAGGAGGAGTATGAGGTAATCAGTCCCTCAGCCTGGAGTCGATGTGTTCAGTCCATCAATCTTGTAGAATGTACAGCATAGGGCCGTAGACGTGGCTTATATACTGTAGTGAGGTGAGGTGAAGCAGGCGGAGGCGGGGTCATAGTGGTACCATCCACTAGTCGAAGTAGGTCTTTGTCCAAAGGTTGAACAAGTGTTGAAGAATTCTTTGTAACAAGATCCCATGATGCTGCAGTGTCTGACAGTTGTGATGAATGGTTTGAAAAACCGACAAGTTGAAAATTGAGACTTATGCAGCATATGGGAATCTTTATTCAGGAAACGTTTCGCCACACAGTGGCTTCATCAGTCCAATACAATACGCCTTCCTCTTTGTATTGGACTGATGAAGCCACTGTGTGGCGAAACGTTTCCTGAATAAAGATTCCCATATGCTGCATAAGTGTCTCAATCTTCAACTTGTCGGTTTTTCAAACCATTCATCACGGGTGGGAAGATATTGCAGGAAAATAGTCCGTAAATGGAATACCTCTATATGAAACTGGTAGGTCATGTACTGCTAACCGTGCAGCAGTGTCTGCCTGTTCATTGCCCTGTACATCGACATGACCAGGGACCCAACAAAAAACAATATCTTTATGCTTGGTAAAGATGCGGCGTAGCCAAAGTTGGATACGGAGGACTAAGGGGTGAGGTGTATCAAATTTCTGTATAGCTTGTAAAGCACTAAGGGAGTCTGAGACAACCACAAATGATGACGCAGGCATAGATGCAATACGGATAAGTGCTGCAAGGATGGCATACAATTCAGCAGTAAAAATACTAGCCGAAGATAGTAAATGTCCTCGTACGACGCTGTCCGGAAACACTGCTGTGAATCCTACGCCGTCAGAAGACTTAGAGCCATCTGTGTAACACCAATGGCATGAAAATGAGAGTGGAAGTGGTAAAGAAAAAGAGAGCGGGAAGCGCCCGTAACATTTGGGGGCTTTCGAGAAAGGGGAGAGAGAAAGAACAGACTCGAAAAACGGAACTTCCCAGGGGGGGGGGAAAAAAGTGGATGCTACAAAAAACTTTAAAAGGGTTTTGGTAATTGAAGAGAAAAACAAGAGAAAAATTAAAGGGCCGAAGAGAAAAGGGGACGGAGTAAAAAAAGGGGCGGAAAAACAAAAAAAGAAGGGCTTAATATCAGTGCCCAAATTTTTAAAAAATGGAAGGTTTGGGCGGAGATCATGAGAGCGTACATATAGCAAGGCAATGGGCATCACGCGTTTGGGATAAGGATGGAACGTTCGCTTCTGCATAGAGGCTCTCAAAAGGGGAAGAGGGGGAAAAAGCCCCCAAGGGGATAAACGTAATCCTTCGTTATTAATGGGGGTTTTTGGCTAGAGAAGTAGCGGAGATGCCGCTGAATAGATCTGGTCACCATAATCAAGTTTTTGGGTAAAATTAGGGTGGAATGAAGGGGAAGGGGGGTTGCATCAGCTTTCCCCCTGAAAAAATAGCAAGGGTTTTAAAAAAAGGGTTTAGCTGGCTGTGACCCAAATTGCCTTCAGAGAGGGAAAAAGTGAGGTTTTTCCCGGGTAACCTACGGTTTAAAAAGGAGGCCCCGAAACTTACTGTAATTTTACGGGTTTAGGGGTAAAGGGGGGCCATAGGGTAAAAAAGGGGATCGGAGATGACAAGCGCCCAGTGAAAAATAATTTGGGGGGTTTTAGTGCTGGAAAAATTTTAAAAACCCCTTTTGTGTGGGCCCCAAATTTGGAAAAAACCCCCTCAACCGCAAAGCTGGAGAGAAACTTTAATGAGGTGCAGTCCCGCGCTGCAAAGGCAATTTGCGAAGTCATCAACATAAGTGATGACCAAATAAATTTTATGGAAGACTAGAGGGCCCAAAACATTATTTGCAAGGGGAAAAAAAAGGTTTTTGCTCAAGGGAAAACTCCCCCGGGGCACCTTTAGTTGGATAAAATCCGGGGAGAAAACATTATTAAACCCAACAAAGGAAATGGGCCCGTCAGTTAAAAAATTTTAAGGAAGGATTGGGAGAATTTCCCCAAGCCCCAAGGGGGTGGGTTGGGGTAAAAAAATTATACCTCCAGTTTTGTTATATGCCTTCTCAAATCAAAAAAAAACGGCAAAAAAACTGATGGGTTAAATTTTTAAAGGCATTACGAAATACTATCCAAGCGTAGTAAGGGGGCGTGGGAGAACGCCCTTACAAAGGGCCCTATTGGCGAGTGGGAAAAAGACTGTTTGTCTCTAAATAAAACACAAAAAAGTCTAATTTACCAGGCGTTCCCCTCACTTTGCAAACTGCAAGGTAAAAGCAAAGGGACGATAGTTGGGGGGCTTCATGTCCCCCTATTTCCTGGTTTTTCGGGGGAAAAGGGGGAACAATGGGAGATTTCCACAGCTGTGGAAAATCCTTTTGGGCCAAATAAATTGTAAAAGGGATAATAGGACTGGAAAAAAAGCTGATGAAAGTAAATGTTTTAGCATAAGAATAAAGAATGTCGTTTGGGGCCCGGGTGCCCCATGATCGGGAAGTGATAGGGGTTGCCTCCAGTTCTTGAAGTGTAAAAGGCACATTATACTGTTCTCTGACAGAAGAAAAGTCCAAGGGTGCAAACTCTCTGGCAGATTTTGAGGAAAAAAACGAGGGGCATGAGGGAGCCCCTGAGAAATACGGACCAGATGATTGCCAATTTTCATTGGCAACATCTAGTGGGTTTGCTATATCAACACCGGCAACCCGCAAAAAGGAGCCGGGTCAGGAGAATATTTACCACTCAGTTTTTGTACTTTTTTCCAGACTGCACTCATAGAGGAAGCAGAGGTGATGGTGGAGACAATCTCGCCAGCAAGTGCTTTAGCGTCACGGATGACACGGCGAGCGATCACACGCTTCTGCTTAAAATCAAGAAGTCTCTCCGTGGTTCTATTGTACTGGTACCTGCCCCATGCAGCGCGTTTCAAACGTACTGCACAAGCAGGAGACCACCAAGGCACGCATTTCTGAGAATGCCTGCCCGAAGTTTGGGGTATACAATTAAAAAGCTGCGGTTAAAACGGAGGACAAAAGAGGTGTAAAAGCTCATCGATGGAGGACGAAGAAGGAACCTTTTCTAAAAACAGTTAGGTGTGAGTAATGGTTTCCAATTTGCCTGATCAAATTGCCAGCGTGGGATGCGAAGACGTGGTGAATATGAAGGGGAAGTAAGAATGATTGGGAAATGATCGCTCTCATGTAAGTCCGGGAGAACAGACCAAGTGAAGTCTAATGCGGCGGAGGAAGAGCAGACTGAGAGATCGATGCAAGAGAGAGTGAGTCCGAGGATCAAAATGGGTGTGAGTACCTGTATTTAAAACATGGAGGGGGTGGGTGGCAAGAAAAGCCTCTAACTGAATGCCACGGGAATCACAGTGAGACCCCCCCCCAGAGGAAGTGGTGGCATTAAAATCGCCAAGAAAACAGAATCGGTGGCGGTAATGAAAAACAAGAAAGGGCAATATCCGGAATGGATAATGCCCGAGAAGGAGGAGATATAAAGAACAGAGCGTATACCACCTATGCAAGTGGATAGGGGCTGCTGTGTAATGCAGCGGGGTTACGAACAAATAGCTGATGGTAGGGAAATATCAGTGCATAGAAGAAGGCACTTTCATTAAAGGTCCCATCAGAAAAAGGATCTGAAGAATACAATAAATATAGCCTGAGATGGGAGAGAGAACAGCAGAGTGTAATTTTGGTTCCTGTAAGCAAACACCAACAGGGAAAACTGGGAGAGTACATCTGAAGCTCACCCCGATTCCCCCTGAGGCCGCGTATATTCCACTGTAAATAGGCCATGATTGGCAATGAAAAAGATACCTGAAATCCGCGGGTAAGGGTTCCTACGGACTAGAGGGTTAGAAAAGTCCACATGCGGAGGCAGTGGAAAACGTTCAA